CATCATCGGCATCACCAGTCACGTCACGCCGGGCATGGCTTGTCAGGGGTTTCCAGCCTTCGGGAGGCAGGATGACATGCAAATTGCTCAGCGGCATCGCTGGGATCACAATGTAGGGTGTTGCGATGCAGGCGTGAATTCTGGCCGAAATGTCTCGAGTAGATATATCTTGGACTGCAAATTACGTCTGTGGAGCATGGCACAAAGGGGTCAGGGGGTTCATCATCAGCACATCAGCCTCCAGCACACGGAGGATTGAATTTACTAGTGGAGCAGAGCAAACCCAACCACTTCCTGCCTACTAAAGCCTCACTGCTGCTTTATATAACACTGCACTGTCAATACTAATGCTATGCAGTTCGACGTTGTGTGCCACCGTCAGTATATGACAGGCCCATTCATAGTGTGGCACAGAGAAACGCAGCACCGAAGCTGGGTGATCTCAGTGGGACTCTACCATTAAAGCTGTACTGTTTGCATGCACCCGTGCAAGCGGGCACTTATGTAGCCTCTAATTATTGCCTGGTGACGTCATGCCTCTCCACCCTCCTCCCCTGGAAGGCTGATAGATAAATCATCAGTCGAATAAAGTGGCAGTGGATAAGTCAATCAGCCATCACCTTCAGTCAAAGGTCACTGAAGCTTCGAGACTTGAAGTTTTCGTGACTGCAAAGGTCCATACTCTTTGGTTTCTTCGGTAAAGTCACGTAGGTAAAAAAAGGAAAATAAATTAAATCACGACGTTTCGGAGGCAACACAAGCTTCCGTCTTCAGGTGGAACCGTCACAGAAAAAACCAAAGAGTATGGGACCTTTGCAGTCACGAAAACTTATCTGTTAGAGTTACACTTGATACAGCAATTTTGTTGTGACGGTTCCATCTGAAGACGGATGCTTGTGTTGCCTCCGAAACGTGATTGAATTTATTTTCCTTTTTTTACCTCCGTGACTTTACCGAAAAAAATCTAGAATTAATGCCCTCTACAGGGAGGAATTTCACTTATCTGTTAGAGTTACACTTGATAATGCAATTTTGTTGTGACGGTTCCATCTGAAGATGGATGCTTGTGTTGCCTCCGAAACGTGATTTTATTTATTTTCCTTTCTTTACCTACGTGACTTTACCGAAAAAAAATCAAAAGTGTATGTCACTGGAGCTGTACAGAATAAATATATACTGTATAACTACTACCGATCTGAGTGCATGGTGTTGCCACTGGTGTCACAGAAGTCACAGAGGTAACCAGAAGTGAAATATTAGGAGTGGGATCTCAACATGTGCTGAATAATAATGGGATTAGACCAGATGATGGAATGAGACCTATCATGGCTTTGTGGTCCATTGCGTGACTTCCGTATTGGCTAAGTTTAAGGAAAAGTTTTTGGGATCAAGAATAGAATATTCCTATAGGCAAATTTATTGAAGGCTGAAAAACTCACTGCTTATGCTATATTCATTCTGATATATTATATGTGCTGATTAAATGATGAACAGACCTTGATATTATTTTGTGCAGAAAAGAGGAACATGTTTATCTGTTGGTTTGAACTGCTCTCGATAAACCAGGAAGTGATATTCTAAACTCTCTGGTTCTTTCGGTAAAGTCAAGTAGGTAGAAAAAAATCAATTAAAAAAATCACGACGTTTCGATCACAACACAAGTAGTCGTCCTCAGGCGAAAAAAAATACTCAAGCAGTGGAACTGCTGAGCCAGCGAGAGATCTGTTACAACAAGAGGTTATTTACGTGGCGATGGGCAAGTTAACGGGGTCTGAGCTGGAAAGGAATTTCATCCCCAGACGCAAGCACAGTCAGTCGTATTAATGGGGGAGATTAGGGAGAGAGAGATTAGGGAGAGAGATTCACATGAAATGAGCTTCCGTCGCAGCATAAGAGTATCATCCCCGCATATGCGCACAACAGCAGTGTTAATGGGAGATGAGCACTATGTTGATGGGAGAGGTTAGGCAGGGAGATTAGTAAGTTAATATCATGTCTATGCGTAACACAAGCTGCGGCGCTGCCAACTGCGCTGTGAGTCAAGCACGTCCACGCAAGAGAACCACCGCAACGGTGGTCGCGCCAGTGAAACAAAGCCCATCACACAGCCGGAACCATCGATACATCGAGGCTAAGTGAGCAAAGGTGGCCATGCTAGTGAGACCCCAGCCCGTTAATGCCGAGGCACCTAGCAGGGCAATGCAACTCAGAGAGTCGGAGATAACAGCCAAACGGCAGGGAAGAACGGAAGCACCACAGCAAGTTACGACTTTGCTTGGGTAATAACGTCCTTCCAATTATTGCTCAGCTTATACCCATCTTCTCGGTTGAAATTGTCTCTGTGTTTACATATCTGGATGGATTTCGTGGACAAATCTTTGATGGTAGCCCGAAGGTTTGCAGAGTACCTTGGTCTCGGAAAAAAACAATATCATGCGAGCTCACTGCGTTATAACAATGATCAGCCACTGCAGAGGTATTGGTTCTGCCGTGTTTCAAATCTGCCTTGTGTTCGCGAACACGGTCCGAGATGTGTCGTTTCGTTTCTCCGATTTAACTGCTGCCGCAGACACAACTTAGTTTGTAGACACCAGTGTATTGCATGTCAGGAATGACATCCTTTACAGATGGGATCAAATCACGGATTTTGTGTACTGTATTGAATCGGACCTGGATCTTGTGTTTGTTTAAGATTTTGGAACTATTTTTAGTAACACCTGCTATGTATGGCAAGGTGATGGTTTTGATTGGGTCCTCAGATGGTTGTCTCCCCATGGTTGGGGCTACAGCTTTGCGGATTGTGCGGTCTGAGTATCCATTCATCTTGAGGGCTTGGTGTACGTGCTCCAGTTCACTGGCTAGGTGGCGCTGGTCGGAGATGGTGTAGTGTTTTGATGAGGGAGTTCTTCTGGGCCGGATGGTGGTGGGAGTCAGGCTTTAGATAGGAATCCGTGTGGGTGGCTTTCCTGTAGATGGAATGTCCCAATGAGCCATCAGGCCTCTTCTCGATCAAAACATCCAGAAATGGTAGCTTGCCATCATTTTCCGCTTGCATGGTGAATTTGATGGATGGGTGTATGGAATGTATGTGGTTGTCTAACTGGTTCAGTGCTGGCTGGCCATGTGGCCAGATGACGAGTGTTATCTACGTATCTCTTCCACAGGGAAGGACGTAGGGTGGATATCCGGATGGCATCTGTTTCAAATTTCTCCATGAAAACATTCGCTACCACTGGTAATAAGGGAGAACCCATAGGGGTACCTTTATTTTGTTTGTAGAATGTACCATTCCAGATTAAGTAAGTGCTGGTAAGGCAGTGCCTCACCAAAGTTGGTACATCAGGATTCAGTCCCTGTTGGACCAAGTCTTCAATGATTGCTATGGTGTCAGGTACCTTGGTGAACAGAGAGACTGCATCTAAGCTGACAAGCAAATCATCTTTGCTTGTCAGCTTAGAAGAACAACGCAAGCAGCCGTCCTCAGGTGAAGAACAGGTTTGTCGGAAAGACAGCGTCTGAATGAGACGCTCTCTTTCCGACAGACCTGTTCTTCACCTGAGGACGGCTGCTTGCGTTGTGGCCGAAACGTCTACGTGACTTTACCGAAAGAACCAAGAAGATGAATCCCTGCAGTCACGAAAGCTTCCAATCGAAATTTAGACGCTGTTCGTAAGTGCAGACTGTTCGTAAGTGCGGGTGTTCATAAGTGGGGGTGTTCATAAGTAGGGGTGTTCATAAGTGCGGCTGTTCATAAGTGCGGGTGTTCGTAAGTGCGGGTGTTCGTAAGTGCGGGTGTTCATAAGTGGGGGTGTTCGTAAGTGGGGGTTTTCGTAAGTGGGGGTGTTCGTAAGTGCGGGTGTTCATAAGTGCGGGTGTTCGTAAGTGGGGGTGTTCATAAGTGGGGGTGTTCGTAAGTGCGGGTGTTCATAAGTGCGGGTGTTCATAAGTGCGGGTGTTCGTAAGTGGGGGTGTTCGTAAGTGGGGGTGTTCGTAAGTGCGGGTGTTCGTAAGTGGGGGTGTTCGTAAGTGGGGGTGTTCATAAGTGCGGGTGTTCATAAGTGGGGGTGTTCATAAGTGCGGGTGTTCATAAGTGGGGGTGTTCGTAAGTGCGGGTGTTCATAAGTGGGGGTGTTCGTAAGTGGGGGTGTTCATAAGTGGGGGTGTTCGTAAGTGCGGGTGTTCATAAGTGCGGGTGTTCGTAAGTGGGGGTGTTCGTAAGTGGGGGTGTTCATTAGTGGGGGTGTTCGTAAGTGCGGGTGTTCGTAAGTGCGGGTGTTCGTAAGTGCGGGTGTTCGTAAGTGGGGGTGTTTGTAAGTGGGGGTGTTCGTAAGTGGGGGTGTTCGTAAGTGGGGGTGTTCATAAGTGGGGGTGTTCGTAAGTGCAGGCTGTTCATAAGTGCGGGTGTTCATAAGTAGGGATGTTCATAAGTGCGGCTGTTCATAAGTGCGGGTGTTCGTAAGTGGGGGTGTTCGTAAGTGGGGGTGTTCGTAAGTGCGGCTGTTCGTAAGTGCGGGTGTTCGTAAGTGCGGGTGTTCATAAGTGCGGGAGTTCATAAGTGGGGGTGTTCGTAAGTTGGGGTGTTCGTAAGTGGGGGTGTTCATAAGTGGGGGTGTTCGTAAGTCGAGAACTTCCTTGGGGTGGGCTACCCCGCTCTAGAAACGTAAGAAACCGACCGGCGACCGCTCGGCAAAACTTCGGCTCCGCTCGGCAATCTCCGGCCGAGTCGACGCGGAAGCGCGAGGGGGGAGACCCGAACCCCAGCGCGCGCCGCCGCCGCATTTAGATTCCGCAGTGCAGATGAGGCGCATCGTCGAGCCCCGAAAGAGGCTCCAGCAACCCGATTGGCCGCGCGCTGACCCGCTTCAGCCAATCGCGCGAGGGGGGCGGGAAGACCAGACGCGCGTATCCGTGTTAGGGAATACAAAGTGAGTTGAAAAGGGGGTGGAGCCAACTCGTCGCCCCTCCCCCTCCACCACCCCCCTTCCCCCCCCACTCGGATCCCCATTGGAGCCAGCGGTGGTGGCGATCTGGCTCCGTGTGGTTGGGAGTCGTCGGGAGCTCCGTAGCTGCATGCGTCCAACTCGCCCACCACCCCCACCACCACAATCAACAACAACAACCACCACCACCACTAAGCCACCACCCCCCCCACCTCCACCATCAGTCGCTGGGTTTCGGTAACGTTTTGGGCGATTGGCACTTTTAAGTAAAAAAAAAACGTCGCGCCTGTAAGTTCAGAAGAGTTTGGCGAAGGAACGCCACCGATCGCGAAGGTGAGAGAAGCGTGTGGTTGTTGTTGTTGTGGTGTTACGTGACTTGTACTTTTACTGGCAAAATGTGCGAGTCTCTCGTGTGTGTGTGTGAAAAGTTCGCCGCGGTTGCGAGCGAGTTGGGTTTTCAGTGTGACCCCCCTTCCCAACCCTTCCGTCGAAACTTTCAAAGTTGTTGCCAGAAGAGCCGACGTGTCCGATACGAGTGACACGTGAATAAAACCCCCTCGGATGTGTCGAACAATGATGGAGAAGGTGGTGGTGGTGTTGTTACTGTAGTGTAGTATCCTACAAATGTGTGACCGGCTTTGGGTTTTCACATCGTCAAAAGTTGAAGTTGGCCAAGATGCCAATGCCCTCTTGGTCGCAATGACCTTTAGCGCAAAGGTTTTTTCGACAAGACCACCTTGGCCTTCATGGATAACAACTACTTTTATTTGTTTGACCGGCTAAAAGGCTCTTTTTTTTCAGAAGCGACCTGGCGATCACAAGTGATGATAGCCGAACGGAAGTGGCTTCATCGTCGTGGTGTGCAAATGTATAGCAGCCAAAATACTGTAACTCTGAATGTGTTTACGTTGTTCTGAAATGTGGAGGAAAAAAAACCGGTGGAGTCTGAGAGAAAAATCCACGCGATCACGGAGAAAGAGGGAGACACGAAAACTACAAATATACAGCAGCAGGCATCAGGGTTAGGGGTTGAACCCACAATCTCCTGTATACCAGGCGAAGTAGTTAACATCTCATAGTCATCGTCATGATGACAGAGACACGCAAACTCCAAATATACAGCAGGCATCGTCAGGGTAAGGATGGAACCGACGACCTCCTGTATACCAAGCTAGGTAGTTAACATCTAGCCACCGTCATGATGATGAGAGAGAGACACGCAAACTACAAATATACAACAGCAGGCGTCAGGGTTAGGGGTGGAAGCCACAATCTCCTGTATACCAGGCGAGGTAGTTAACATCTCCTAGCCACCGTGATGATGATAGAGACAAGCAACCTCCAAATACACAGAAGGCATCGTCAGGGTAGGGATGGAACCCACGACCTCCTGTATACCAGGCGAGGTAGTTAACATCTAGCCACCGTGATGATAGAGACAAGCAAACTCCAAATACATAGAAGTCATCGTCAGGGTAGGGATCGAACCCACGACCTCCTGTATACCGGGCAAGGTTGTTAACATCTCGCTATCTTGTGAGCCTTCCAGCTTTATTTCAAGAACGTAAGAACGTTACAACATGAAACAATGCTAAAAGGTACGAGAAAGATGAACTAAAACACTTACAAATAAAACACTAAACCATCCCCCATCCTACCAGGCAAAGTCCACTGAGGTATTAACTTTTCAAAGCGACCTGGCACAAATGAAAGCTCAACAAAGTGGCTTATTATTTGGACGTTTATATCAGCAGAATAATCTAAATAGTCTATACACGCATGTTTCTAAGTGTGGAGGGGAGAAAACCAGAGGACCCGGAGAAAAAAATGTAACGCCACCAAGGCGAGAAACATGCAAACTCTAAATATATACAAAACATGGTTCGGGGTCGAACGTCCCTGGGTTGTTCCAATGAACGTGTCATCAGTTAAATCTTGAGATGGTTAACACTCTCTCCATGTTTGTTTATGATGCCTTTGTTTGGTGAAGACTTCTTGTCAAACTCCCCGGTCTCTGTGTGCTGGCTTGATGGGATTCCTCGTCTCAAACTTTGATCAACCAATGTGTGTGGTCTTCATTCTCAATCGAATTCACTTGCCTTCATCTGCACCTTGAATGTATGCCGCTGTGATTTTTCGGTGATCGAAACGTCGTGATCTATTATTTTTTCTACCTACGTGACTTTACCGAAAGAGCCAAAGACTATGGATTCCTGCAGTCACGAAAGCTTCAAATCAAGATAGAGGTTGGGTTGTACGTTTATTGCAGTCTGAACTGTTTGAAGATAACACTGTTATTATTTGCATATACTCTGTATACAATCTCTACTCTGTATTTGGGGAGGCCTTATCTCTCTTACCCTCTTTATCACTTTAAACAGATCATATATTCTCTGTCTTCATTTTAGGAAAGCCATATTTCCAACCCACAGCTGTTTATAGTCCCAAATGTGTAGAACAGTTTAAATATTTAAAAAAACTTTGAACTTCTCTTTTTCCATTGATTTAAAAAATATATTATTTTGTGAAATTTCCCCTCTACATTTCTCATTTCCTTCTCATGCTCAACAAGATGAATGCTAATTGCTGGTCTCTCCAGCATTATATAGTCCAAGATTGGTGTCTAGATTCGAAGTTAGCTCCTTTGCTTGACAAAAAAAATTGTTCGTGTGAAAATAACATTGCATTTTCTATGACTCTCTAGGAAAGTGGCCCTCTAACTAGAAATATAATGTTATAGCATCTATTCTGTACGTACATATTGACATGAACATTTGTTATGTAGCGAGTGAAGAAGCGTTGACGGTAGTATGCACTCACACCGGCTTTCGACCCGGGGTTACCTAAGTTATATTCCTGGCAGCAGCTGTGACATCAGTGGCAAGTAATAACTGAACCGGTCCAGGGCACTCCTGCTTTTACCAACACGAACTGATGACCATCGTGGTTAAGTACAGACCTCGTAATTTGTATGATATGGGGAGGTTATCATCCAACAGTTGATTGACCAAAGGCTGTAAAATATTAATTGTTACAGTTCTTGTCACGTAGCATGTAGAAACAAGACATGGGTAATAATGCTAGTTGTGATAAAACCAGTAAGGGGTGAGTTGTTTGCATTTTGTCATGGCATTTAGGTACAGTAATACAAACATTTTAAACACAGGGAGGTGGACAAACGGTCAAAATGAATTCGTGAAATAATATTTACAAAACGAATAGAGATGTTTTTTTTACGTTGTGCCCACAGAAGATATCTTTTTTGTTATTCAGCTAATGCACACATCTTGTGTTGTATTACTTGTGTATCAAAGTTTTAGTTTTATTTCTTTGCGTGAATTTGTCTTCAGAGGAAATCTACTGCAACCCAATTTGCCACATTTTTGTCTGGCTGTTCATGTGCGGGGTGTGATGTTAGGTGTACAGTAAGATTTTATCGTGTTTCTGAAAAATAACCTTAATTTGCACAGTACACTGTCATAACCATAGCGATGTTCAATCCATTTCTGGATGAAGCCCGCTCAAAGCCATCAATATCTCTCATGCATATAAGCTGATCTTGTTAATTCATCTCCATGGTAGATATACTCTTGGACTGGCTCTCCCTTGACTGCCAGTCCATGGTTGTTCTCGATCATCATCCTCGACCATGATTTGCAAACATCTGCATATGTTAAATTTCGATTTAAAGCTTTCGTGACTGCAGGGATTCATCTTCTTTACCGAAAGAACCAAGACGATCTGCATATGTTATCTGTTTCAGCACCTCCATTTCATCCATGCCTTGCTTCGGCAATATTTAATTATGAGTATGAAAAATGCATGTATTTCCAATCTTTCGTGTATGGTTAAAGGAAGCATTGAGTCAGGGCCGACCACGTGTCTTCGTGGGGAAGTATTTCTGTGCTCTTAAATCTTTTTTTTGGCAAAACAATAATGGTCACAATGCAAATCTGACTTGCTGTGTAGACAACAATACCATCCGACATTTGTATAATTTAAACTGAGGTTGCAACTCGGTTACATTTGATTTAGTACTGTTGATATCCAGAATGTTACTAAGTCTGTGTAGAAAGTGTGTTTTTGTTGCTGTATTCCGCAGGATTATCAAAACAATCATTTCAGAGTTCTCAATTCCTGAAACTTGACACTGGTAGACATAAACCATCATAAATAATCTAAAATTTTCCTACAAGTCTTGCTTTCATATGTTTAAAACAACTGCATTTATTTAACATGTTTCATGCCATCATAAAAAGGGAACTTTGCAATGTTATTTTCAGAACTAAAATAGAATGGGGAGATAGTCGTCTAGATCACAGTACTTTCATCAACACAACTTTAGTGGGCCATGCTTTACAAATCGGTTGTGTAGACAATTCCACTCTTTAATATCGTAAATCCCCAATATTGAAGTTGCACATACAATTCGGAGTAACGGAACCACGTTTGAATTTGCTTTCACACTTGACGGCTATATACAATGTCTGTTGATTTTTTTTTGTACGGTAGGATGGACGCAGACAAGGTGTTGCCAAGTGTCCATATCAACAGCAGCAAGGAGGACACTGACCACAGGAAGAAGCGCTTCACAGTACGCCACGCACTCAGAGCTCAGTTAAAGTACAATGTGTTAGTTGATTGGAACTAGTATGGAACAATGAAATTTACCATTTTCACAGTGCAGTATGTCGCATATCCAACTGCCACTATTCCATCTAGATTTGAAGCTTTAGTGACTGCAAGGATTCATACTCTTTGGTTTTTTCGGTAAAGTCACGTTGGTAAAAAATCTTAAAAATAAATTAAAACAGTTTAGTTGTTTTCATTTATTTTCTTTTTTATCGACGTGACTTTACCGAAAAAAATAACAGTATGTCTCCTTGCAGTCACGAAAGCTTCAAAGAGTATGCCACTTCCGTTATTACTCAACTGCTCACACAGTGCAGTGTTTGTCGTGGTGTCACGGTCTTTCTCTCTGGTATATTCCCAAATTCAGTTGCTTCGCGTACATCAATTGAATGTTCATCTCGCGTACATTTGCTTTGTTCTTGCAGCGGTTTTGTTTTATTTTCTCCAGTTGCCTACATGTGCATGGTTTAACTGTCATTTTCTTCAGATGTTCACAACATCCAAACTTTTTCATGTAGCCGACTATACCTCAGTCGCCAGTAGGTTAAATATGCGACATTGTAATGTACCAATAGCAGTCACCTCTTAAGTTCCTGATGGATTATTTTTGCCTTTAAAACAAATGAATGATATATCATGGCCAAAAAAATATCCCTGAGAATATTCTAACCAACAAAGAAACTATTGTAAAATGTACACATTTCAGCAACAATTCACGTAAACAATTTTACTGGGGCATGCTTAGTTGGTGAATGTGGCCCACTAAGAAGCCATACATCTCGCATTACTTGGTACTGAGCGTGTTTTTTGTCGTGTCGCACTTTTATAGGTGTACAAAATGATGGTGTGCAACGGAGGACAGTCCTGGTTTGTGTTCAGGCGCTATGCAGAATTTGACAAACTCTACAACACTGTGAGTCTTTGTATCTTGTTGAAGACCGCTTCCCGTACACTTGTCTTAAAATGAGGAAAATCACATTGAACAAGTGCGAAAGATGACTAAAGTTCGAAGCTGAGAGGAAGTGGCTTGGAATGGATTTGATTAATGATAGCATTAATACTGTCCAAAAAACTGTATGACCTCAAACCAGTGTCCACTTCACCACATCATACCCCGAACCCTTCAGCATTAAAAAAAAATCTTTCTGCCTGTTGAGATTGTTTCTCTTGCAGCGTTGTGTGAGTCAAATGCGTATTTGGCGTTCACGAACATTGACATTTTGGAGCAATTCATGTTTTGATGGCGACACATGTTCCTTCTAATACTCAAATATATCAGTTGCATGCTTTTAATTCGCATGGAAAATATGAAAAGTTAAAGTTTTTATTATTTTTTTATTTTAGTTAGCAGGCAGATTAAGACACCACATGACAGAGAGCATTTCCATTATGATTCATTCAGGAATTTTGTGGGTTTTGTATTAATATGCCCATGTGGCTCTTGTGTTTTCTACAGTTAAAGAAACAGTGTCCAAATATGACATTGAAAATTCCTGCGAAGAGGATTTTTGGCAATAATTTTGATCCAGGTACAGATTTCATATATAATATAAAACCATATTTTCATTTATATATCAACTTATTAGATATTACTCTAAAATTAAGTGTTTCATTAACTTTCTGTTAAAACATGTGGTTATTTCCAGCACCGTATATTTGTAATGTATACTTTGATGTCATGGGACCTCCTTTGCCAGTACCAAAATATGAGAATAGGTTTTCCCCTTATTTCTGGCAACAAAACAGGTGTTAAGGTGTTAAAACACCAAACTGAAACCTTTTACAAGGAATCATGTCTGCATTAACCACAATACTTGTGGTCAGAATGCAAACAAAAACATACTCTGATAATATATGCATTGTCTTTGAAACTGCTTGGTCTACACCAGAGACAGCTTTCTTTGGAGCCTAGTCTTAAAACGGTTTTAGACCAGAGGACGCCAAAAGGCGTACTTATACTTTGACGTGTTTACAATATGGGTTCCTGATCCTCAACACATTGTGTGTGTGTGTAGACTGTGTAGGAATCTGGTCAGCTACAGTAGTATCATGTACGGCAATGCAAAAACAAGTCTGCTTAGATTCCAAAAATATCTCGCCTTGTGGACACACCTCTTGAAAACCGCGCTGACAAGAAATAAAAAACATTGAAACTAATTTAAAGACACTGATTTCTTATACGTGTGATTTTATGCTTGTATCATGGCCTTCAAAGTTAATATTAATGATTGCATCCAATACATTATTACACCGGATTGGTAGCGTTTCTTTGAATTTCCATTAAAATTTTTAAACATTCGAACAAGTGGATGAACAAATAAAAAATGTTCTATTTTTTTTAGACACATTTTTACATGCTTTTAATAAGAATGTTGGATTTTTGTTCTAATGTAAGTATGTCAGCATGTAAAGATTGCCCTTTCCACCCAATGATGGAATGATTTGTCATGGTTAGGGTTTATAATTTGATTCGAGAATATTTTTTTTTTTACAGTGTGGTGCATGGAATATCACTCGTGGCTGCAAGTGTCACATGAACCCATTAAATAAAATATAGAAGTAATAACGTTTTTTTGGGTTAGATCGCGTAATTACAAATGCACCGTAAACCTACCTCCACAGACACAGCCAATTGATAAGATTTGTCACGTGACAAAAATGTGCCAATTAGTTACTCCTTCAGCACACCAGTACTCATATACTTTAATTTTATTTATCTTTAGCGGCCTGCTTACCTATTCTCTGCACTCCTATGGTTTTTTTTATTGTTTGTTGTTGAAACTTGCTGACCTACCTCGACTGGACATCTGTGAAAGCGACCTTCATAGTTCATCCGATTCCTCCAGTATATAAATAAATATTCTGATGCTGAAACTTACAACATTTACAATTTTGAGCACGACTTTCCGCTGGCAATTACAACCAGCTTCATCAGGCGATTGCCAGTATTGTGAATAAGTTTTCTTGTTTCCGGTCTTAAAATAGAGTAGTGTGATATCTTCAATTAGAGAGATCTCTTGTGCACCTCCAAGTGCGAATATCCCAGGAGGGTTAATGTATTCGCATACGTGAAAATGGATTAAAGTTAATCTGAAAATATGCACGACATATTATGTGTTGGGTTGCAGTTGGGTTTACACAACATTTATATTTACACGATCTAACCCAAAACAACCTTTATACGAATAATGTTGGTCACGAAAGCCTACGTGTGAAATATATACAAGTAAAAATCAATTCGTATCATTAGCGATACAGACAGATTTTTGACCATAAATCGAAGGATTGTTAAATATCTACTCCACATTTTTCCCAATGGAACTTTTTTTCTTCCAGATAAGTCTCTGAAGGTTTTTGCATTTCCCCAGTTTCATGCCTCGATATGAACTGCGAGGGAGGGCACAATATCAATAATAAATTATGATTATGAAAGTGTTTATCCATTATACATTTGTTATATAATACAGACTTCATCAAGCAGCGTCGAGAGGGGCTCGAAGAATTCATTCAGAAGTTAATGAGCACTCCAGAGCTTTGCCAGACGTAAGTGCTCTCCTCATAGCTTTTAATATTAGCAACAGTACTATGGACATTTGCATACGATGTTAAGAACCACCTTTTGCAGCAGACTGGTACAATAACTAATTGAACTCTAGAATTCTGCTGTGCTTGGTTTGTTGCTGTGCATGGCTATATAAGTGCAGAGTGGCTATAAAAGTTCAAAAATTAACTTGTGTTTTTCTTTGCATTGTAGCACAGATGTCCAAGACTTCCTTAAAATGGACAACCCCAGAAATCAGCCAGACTTTCACGACGTTGGCATTCACAGTGACATGGTGAGAAAAATATTTTATTGGAAGTAAAATGTTACTAGCATAGAGTCCTCTTAATTACACTTAACTATGAGATATTGTGGCACACGGTCTGGCGTTGTTTGTTCCTTTTTAAATCTTTCATCACACGGTGACATTTTGTGATTCTAAATTGGTCAACATTAATTGATTAGTTTGAGACCTAAATCAATACCTGTTGAGAACATCCTTGTGCTAATGGTAATTGCAGAATAGTGCTTACAATCCATCCAAACCTTCCTCTCGACATGGAACGTAAATGAATTTTCCACAAAATTGTAAATGCATATTGTATGAGAACACGGTTTGAAGTTTGTGTGTTCTTGTGGTTACTTTACAGAACAATGGCTCTGAAGAAATCAACCTCGGCCCTTCTGGAGACCCGCTGTATGTCTTGTGCTTTAATATGATGATTTTTTTGTGAAATTTTTAATATTAAATTTTAAAGGTTAGTTTACATCAAACTTGTAATTGGTAAAATTGCCTAACCGTGTCCTTTCTGTATTATAGGGCCAAACCTTCAGACTTTAATTTCCTGAATGTCCTTGGCAAAGGGAGCTTTGGCAAGGTAGGTCCCGTGCACGATTGCATTTCCACATCTTTTATTGAAATGTAAGACGACAAAACAATACAGTTAATATCATACAAAACACTCGGCATTCTGTCAATGTCACACATTTGTCAATACATCTCTTTCATAGGTTTTCTGCCTTTGCGATGAGAATTTCATGACCCTCTGCGTGCATTCACATGCATTGTATCTTGGAGGCGCCAGCTTCAGCATTGTAACGCGAGTAAACCGCTTTTCTTTCCTGGTTAGGTGCTGCTTGCAAGGCACAAAGTCGATGAGAAATTCTACGCTGTCAAAGTGCTACAGAAGACTGTTATATTACAAAAGAACGAGGTACACGGTGAATGTAAAAAAATCCGACGTAATATTTGTTGTTGTAATGCTAATATAACCACTACACTTCTCTCTTTAACACGTAGGCTTTCGCGACCAATATTATTCATGATAAAGTTTTTGGGTTAGATCGCGTTATTTATAAATGTGTCGTAACCCTCCACCACCTGACACGGCCAATCATTTTGGCGAATTGCCCGATGATGCTGGATGCAATTACCAGCGAAACGTCGTACTCAAAATTTTTTTATGTTGTGGTTTCACTCTTCAACACACCGGTGGGCTAAATTAGTGAACTATTTGTCTTTTGTCAACGTGACACTATTTTTGCTGATTGGCCGTGTCAGGTGGTGGATTGGCCGTGACAGGTAAGCTCGAATAATTCAGAGATCTGGATCAATTTGGGGTGATGCGGGGTGTAATATTAATGACGTAACGTGACGGCAGACGAGAGGAGTTTCACTGTTTTGGTTTTCCACAGCAAAGGCACGTGATGGCTGAGAGAAACGTACTCTTAAAGAACTGCAACCACCCTTTTCTAGTCGCGCTCCACTACTCCTTCCAGACGAACGACAAACTCTACTTCGTGCTGGACTATGTGAACGGCGGGGAGGTATGCTGCTTCCGCGCCTTGCGTACGGTTGTAGAGATCAAGGTGCAGCCCTGCAATTGCTTGCTCACTCACACCTCTGCCAGAGGGAAGGGCTTCCGCTAGATGGAGTTGTACAGAGCCCCTCTAGAGCAAGAGTCGGCAACCGAAATTACAAGAAGAGACATTTAAAAAAAAAATTGGTACAAAACGCAGCATTTCAAGAACCGCGATGCATGGGAATGCATGCGTCGCGTCACGAGGCAGTCCGAAAAGAGCTGCATGCGTCTCCGGAGCTATAGGTTGCCGGCCCCTGCTCGCGAGGGTATTATGACCTTCGTTTCCACACTGTCCAAATGTCTTGGAAGAGGTACCTAGAGTAAGACCCCCACCATAAGTGACCTACCATCTATACTGTTGGGTGGACGCAAGTGTATGGGGGCGCGATTTCATAAACCTGCCCATTCAGAATCTGCGTATTTATTTATACTGGAGAAATCCGAAGAGTTTTAAAGCTCTTTTTCACAGATGTCCTAGAAGGGTGGGAGATGTCCAGTAGGGCAAGAAGAACATTTCAAACCGGCAACCTCTGGATTGCAAGTCCAGTGTGCTAACGTATGTAGAACTTATTTTGCACCATACGTAGCCAACCGTGCTCATCAAGGTGCAGCCCATGTGTAAGATACATAATACAATCCATCAGCGGGAATCGTACTTCCTTTTGTGGTCCCTTCTGGCTCTTGCTGAGGTGTTGCGTCTAACCACTTTCCGCACAGACATGCTCCTCACTTAGCCCTGGGGAGCCCACACCTCCAACAGGGTGGGATGTGGAGGAAGGTGATGAATTTGACACCTCTGCCAAAAACACGTAGGGAGATCTTTGGCCAAGCTAGGAGGTGGTTTTTAAAATACCACCTAACGCCTGTGGGGAAAAAAATTAAACACTCGCGCATTAATGCTCACACCTGTGCACGAAGTAGCAGTGCTTTGCGAGTGCTGAATCACAACACATTGGATTCATGACATTGTTTTGTATGGGTTAATGAAAGGCATTTATCACGTGTAAAATTCTTGTTTTAACTGCCTGAGAGCACGTGCTGTGTTTGATGAAATGGTCACACCAGGAAAAATTGAGGAACATTGCAGTATTATATTTTTTGAATGCCTTTATATTTCTCACAAAGTATATAATATTGAGATAATTTTTATTACCGTACATATTTATATTACATACACTGTTAGCGAGTAATCGGTGTACATCTTGACATTTTAAATAGGTGCGTGTTTATTACAAGTATTGCAAAGCATTCCAGAATGGTTTCATTGGAAAGCATGTCATCGTCATCGTTGAATACACTTAATCGACAACTACCGTTTTAATATTTCATCAGGAATCGGTTATACTTTAATAAGAAAAAAATTACTTTTGCACACATCCACTGTGGATTTTAGCCCTTGATGGTTAGAAAATTGCTTGTAAATTGGGATACATGTAAATTTGACTAACATTTTCCAATGTGCAACATAAAACGTCACGTACGGTACAAGTGTGCTAACCTACTGCAATACATTCCAATTTGGATTTATATGAATGTAAATGCGGCCGAATTCTCGCAACGCCGAAATTGCTTTTGCAATTTGATAAAAATTCTAACCTCGCTTTGTTTTGAGCACAGCTCTTTTTCCACCTACAACGGGAGCGCACGTTCCCCGAGCATCGTGCTCGCTTCTACGCAGCCGAGATCGCCAGCGCCATCGGTTACCTGCATTCCCTCAACATCATCTACAGGCAACGCTCGCTGCACACTCTCCCCGCCGAAACATCGCACTCTAGTACAGGGGATCGGCAATCCACGACACCGGAGCTGCACACGGCTCTTTAAGAACCGCTGCGCAACTTTATTTATTAGGGACCACCGTGTCGTATTCACATGCCATGGCGCCGCGGTGGCGAGGTGTTATCAACCTCGCCTGGTATGCAGGAGGTCGTGGGTTCGATCCCGACCCTGGCGCCTGTATATGTGGAGTTTGCGTGTATCTTCTCCCCGTGGTCGCGTGGATTTTTCTCTGGGTCCTCCAGTTTTTCCCTCCACATTTAGAAGCATGCTTTTGGAGTATTTGGCTGCTATACATTTTCACGTGATGAGCCATTTCGTGGAGCTATCATTTGTGGCCAGGTCTCTTCTGAAAAAGATATATATAGCTCAGTGGGCCTTACCTGGTGAAATAAAGAGTAAAAAAAGAATTTAAAAAAAGTTTTTATAGTTTTTCATTGCGGCTCTTGACATATCGATTTGTTTGCACAATAAAAAATGCCTTATTTTAGTTGCCGACCCCTGCCCTAGTGTTTTATTGTTGAGCGCTGTGATTTGAATCCGTGTATGTATGTTGAACGTCTTTCGCGCAATATGTAGCCAATCATGGTAATCAGAGGTGCGGAGGAAGGACAACAAACTAAACACAAAAAAAGCAGCTCTAAATAAATGAGTTTTCAATCTCGATTTAAAAGAGCGTAGCTCCAGTGGCTGCCTAATAGGCATCCCATGCCCTTCTTAGATTCCTGTCGACTTGATGGCTGCAGAGAAGCCGAATAAAGTCTCTCCACTGTTTTTAGTCTAGTACTGGTTTGAAACAAGACACTAATGTGTGTTAAAAGCATGTGCAAAAAAATCGTAATTTCCTTAATAAGTGCATTGTGGTCCTCTTAGATCACCACCAAGAAGAAATTTAGCAAATGTGATCGACTGACATCCACAGTGATAGACAATTGTGCACCTGTTTTGTCATAATTAGGATTCATAAGCACAGTTTTTATTCAGTTATGATGTGTTTTCCTCGTCATTTGATACTAGTACGAGCTTCATGGTTTTATTCAATCTTGATACATTATTGGTGTATGTTCATTGCATTGTGTCTAACCAACACATCCTCGATCATCCTTCATTTATCGTTCCCTACACTTGGGTGTCTATTGCCATGGTGCATCCTTTGTCTATTGTCACAGGGCATCATTTCTTGGGTGTCTGTTGCCATGGGGCATCCTTTCTTGGGTGTCTGTTGCCATGGGGCATCCTTTTGTGGGTGTCTATTGGCACAGGGCATCCTTTCTTGGGTGTCTATTGGCACAGGGCATCCTTTCTTGGGTGTCTATTGCCACGGGGAATCCTTCCTTGGCGTATATGTCCGCCGAATAACGTGCACACATCAGCATGTTCTCATACTCTAGAATTCTTACTCCCATCGTCCATTTAAAGTTGAGCTGTTTGTAAAATAATTTTGTTGAAGAGAGGCCCTCGAGCAAATTACCTGAATAGCCAATTATAGTAGTGGTCAGAAACAGCCAGTTTTGATCCAGGTTACGGATGCAACTTTAATGAGAGGACTGAAATACTCGCTTTATAATACTGGTGCCATTTGTTACCTTTGTCACGTGTGCCATGTTAATGTGAATGTGTGCAAAGGTGCTACTGTTGAGCTTTAGTAGCCTCGGGAATGTCTGATGTATTATCAGAATCGCTATTTAGACTGCAGCAGGAGGAATCCGATGAGCTATGAAGCTCTTTCACAGGTGTCCAGTATGGGCTGTTCAGCAAGTTGTCACAGCAAACAATACGAAATACGATAGGAGTGCAAAATATGCAAAAATGGTAAAGAAGTCACTAAATAGAAATGAATTAATTACATAAATCCAATTTATCAAGATTGGGCAAGGCAGCAAAAACAACAACACACTAAGATAACACACAGTCGTGGTCCCTCAATAAAATTTCACATTAACATTGAGCTATCATACACAGATAATGATCAAAGTTACAAATCATCAGTATCCCCATGCAGATTATTTTTCAATTTTACATCTCGTTCTTCCCGTTGGACATGCGTACCTATGAATGTCAAGTTAAAGGATTCACTGTAGTGGTGCATGCGTCTGAAATTGCATTGCCCTCTGAAACGTTACAAATTATTTATTAAGGCTGTTTATTTATTCTGTATTCCAGGGACCTGAAACCTGAAAACATTCTGCTGGATTCTGAGGTACGTTGGTGAACATGATCAAATTCACATTAAATAACATGCTACAATACCGCCGGTTCAGAGTTTGCTTGCTTTAACAAATGCTGCGAGGTAATTATTGGTCTTGAAAACCAATAGGATGATGGACTGAACATAGTTTTATTTTTTATACTCTATGCGGAGATATTGATTGCGTTTCTGCTTGTATATATGAGAGTATACAATTTCCGCTGTATTTTAGAGGGCCGTCAAATGTTACAGTTGATTCCGTAGCATGTTTAAATTAAGTAGGTATTTGTAAATTTCTGAAATTGTGAAATACTTCTTTCTAAATTTGTTTTTAGGTTGGTTTACGTTAACTATGGACGATAAAAGTTTTGCGTAAATATTTCTTAAAACGGCAGGCTAGGAACAATTTATTTAATTAATTCACCTCATACCAAGGTACTTAGCTGCAGTGCATTATTTGGGTGATTAACCAATTTTTTTAATAACCACAAAATTCACTAGGTCGATATTTGTAATCCCATTCTCAAAGTGTGTTTGCCACATACAGAGAGAAATGACCATAAAAATGAATACTTTTAATAAAGCCCCAGCTATGATTCCCATGATTTGTACGAGGCCTTTAATTGGCGAGGTGTTAACTACCTCGCCTGGTACACAGGAGGTCGTGGGTTCGATCCTGACCCTTATGCCTGTATATTTGGAGTTTGCATGTTCCTCCTTGTGAGCTATCATTTGTGGCCAGGTCGCTTCTGAAAAAGAGCAATATAGCTCAGTGGGCCTTGCCTGGTAAAATAAAAGGTCGTTAAAAAAATTGTTTATAAGTTATTTATGTACCTTCCATTTCCCATACTCCCCAGGGGCACATCAAACTAACAGACTTTGGGCTTTGCAAAGAAGGCATGGAGTCAACGGAGACTACGACCACATTCTGCGGCACTCCGGAGGTAACCGTGTGGTTCAAATAGACGTGCACGGATGTCATGATTACCATTTGAAATTAGGCATGCAATGTTTAGTTTTAATCAATACCAAACACATTTGTCACTAACACTTCCCGCGAAGGAGAATAAAATGTATAAGGGGTGTCGTTTCCGGCATAGCTTGACCATCGATGCTTTTAAGAAGAGCCACTACCAGAGATTTTGTTATTTATGCCTGTGCAGCACTGGCAACTCAATATCAACAAGTTTTTTTGTGCTACATCAAAAGATACTGCCTTGGTGTAATATGGTTAGCACACTGGACTTGCAATCCAGAGTTCGCCAGTTGAAATTGATCTTCCAGCGCAGCAGCAAAAACATTGGACGGGTTTCTCAATCCCCCCACCCCCCCCACCTTTGTCCACCTCAGAAGTGAATGGGAAGGTGACGTGTAGTGGGATGATACAGTGTGGGCATGCCCACCTCGTTCAACGTTCAAGTCGTCTGGAAACATTCCCTATAGAAGATGTCTAGAACACGAGAGCTCCCAACTTGGGCTCTGTAGAGCTCCCTTTAGTGGAAGACCCTTCTGTTTGCAGTGGCATGAGCAAGTAATTGCAGGGATGCACTTTTTTTGTTTAGTCTTAAGGAAGCAATAGACTCCAATGCAAGGCCGTAATTATAATATATATTGGGGGGGACACAACCCCCCCCAATATTCAAATATGCTCAAAATGTCCCCCCCAATATATTGCTATAAAAATATATTTTTTAAAATTATTGCGATGCAATGTAAATAAAAACAACAATTTTTTAAACCTTGACCACAATATCTGGACTTGTCTTCATATAACAATGCATAGATTTCTGTTAATATGATTGTGGTTATGGTTGTGCTTTATAATCCCTAATCTCTGCCATTATATACAATGAAACAAGAAAATGTAAAAAAAAGAAAAACATCAATGTAATAAAATACACTATTAGACATTATTGTAAAAAAAATCATAAAAAGTCCATCCTATGTATTAGTGAATTTTTTTTATATTTTAGGCAGGAAATGAGTTTTCAAATTGAGATTTTTTTTTTGGGGTGTGGGACCCCCAGACCCTCTGTAAGATTTGGTCCCCCCCCAATGTTGACTCCATGGCTACGGCCTTGCTCCAGTGTATTGACTTGTTCTCTCCCCTGCAGTATCTCGCCCCAGAAATACTGCGCAAGGAGCCGTACGACAGAACCGTCGACTGGTGGTGCCTAGGGTCCGTCCTCTATGAGATGCTGTTTGGCTTGGTAAGTCCTTGACACCATTGGAACCTGATTTTCCAGTACAAATATGATAATTGGTTTTTTACCCTTCTATCTGGCAACAAAACTGACACCTTTTTTTACAAGGAGTCATGTTTACATAGACCACAATACCTGCAGTCATAATGCAAACAAAAAACATAACTCTGATAATGTGCACTATCCTTGAAGTTGATTGGTCCACACCCGAGACAGCTTTCCTTAGAGCCTAGTCTCACAGATGACGCCTTTTGGCGTCATCTGGTCCAACCCATGTGAGACTAGGCTCTAAGGAAAGCTGTCTCGGGTGTGAAGTTCTTGACAGTTGCCCTGTAAATGTTTAATGTGTTAATGCCTCAACCAAGTGGGAAAAAAATGCACAGTACATTGAATTACATTCTGTGAATTATACCCCCTTGATATGAGAGTTCTTAAATACGATGTAAAAATATATGGACAAGCGGACGTTATCCTGAGGTACTATTTTATTGGTGTAGTAACAAACTTCGTTCATTGTTCGTGGGTGTGGCCAACGTAACTCAATCATGCATGTGCTTGTGTACGCGTCGATAAGTATATGCATGGTTATGCGTGAATACGTGGATGCTTTTGTGCCCTTGTGTGAAGTATGATGTTGAGCCATGGCATTCATTTTCTTGTGAGCGATATCTATCAATTGATGTCTTAACTAGTCCTGGGTTTCCCCGAGACTCGACTCGGCGTTAAATGTGTACCTGATGTGGTGTGTAAACATCAGTGCTAGGGAGACAAAGGTGGCTAAGCATGATGCTGTACACTGCCTCCTTTAATACGTGCTCATTAACAGCACTTGTCCTGACAGTCTGTTTAAGTTATATGGGTGGTCTTTGTATTTGCGCTCATGTGCATTTTGGTGTAGGCCTAGTGCTGACAGCTGTCCGTCAGCTTCCGTACTGCTAATAAATGCATACGAGGTCCAACGCATGTTGGGAAGCAAGCGTCACGTGATCAACGCCACGTGCATTACGTTTCTTCGTTGCTGTACGCATGCATTGGCCCGATTCTCGCAGCCTCCGTTTTACTGCCGCGACGTGCCAACGATGTACGACGACATCCTGCACAAGCCACTGCTGCTGAGGCACGGCAGCCCCGCCGCACACAACATCCTGGAGGGGCTGCTCCAGAAGGAAAAGCGTTACCGCCTGGGCTCACACAATGACTTTGTACGTTGTGCGCCACGTGCACTACACCTGCAAATCAAATGTAATCATTTGTACGTTTGGTAAACCGTGGTATTTGCCTGTCACAAAGGGGCTCTGTTTAACGGTCGAGCATAATCTGCATTAGTTGCATAGTCACGGGCAATGTTTGCTATGTGGTTTTACCCAATTAGGTAATTTGCAAGTTATTTTTTCAAATTTCGACTTAAGGCGACACTCATGGCCTACTGTTTATATATATTTTTTATGTCACGGAATCTTTGGCGCCCACTGTCAATTCACCTCCAGTGATTAACCAGGGTGGTCGTGGGGCTTGAACGTTCTACGGCTCCAGGTCACTGCACCAATGTTGTGCAGTTTTTCAACATAACGGTTGTTCGATTACGGAATGGATTATCAAAGTTATGGAATTGGTAATCGTAAAGAGTATCATTTTACTAAGGATTGAACACGGTGCGCTGCGAAGCCATCCAAACTGCACGGCACATCCCGCTGCGATTGGTCGCGTGACAAGCGATTAACTTACAAAATATATTTTTAAACACTTGCAGCATTTTGTCATTCCACCACTTAATGAAGGCTACCACCGTAGAATGTTGGTCATAGTCCTTGATTGACTATACCGGTCAGTATCGGTTAAGGTTGGTCAACCATAAAACCTACGTTTTTTTCATGCGATTATTCAAATGCTAAACTTGTAAACAAAATTAACTAGCCCTGTTCAAGACGATTCGTTAAGTGCCCTTTTTATTGAGTAAAGCAGAACGCAACTGTGCATGTTTTAAAGCTGTCCCGTCTACCAGGTAATGGCCATTAAAGCCGGTGCAATTGGTTTCCGTTCAGGTTTTATTAATGTCGATTATTCAGTCAGGGTGTGTGCGCTTCGGATACCATTCCTCCGTTTGTGCTTTATTTACAGGAACATAGCATCACATTTTACTGTAAAACACTTAACATGTTCATTGGTGTTTACCGTTGTTTTTTTCTTGCAGAAGGATATTAAGCAGCACGTTTTTTTCATCTCCATCGACTGGCTGAAACTGGATGCGAAAAAAGTGGTGCCACCCTTCAACCCAAAAGTGGTAAATTTATCCTCCTAATTGAAAGAGTGCACAAATCATTTGCATGTCATTTGTAATTAAAAACACATTAGCACCATTGTACACTATTAAGTTAGGACTCAATATAATTATACTTGTGTTTAAAAATATATATAATTATACTGTAATGTGGACCCTGTTTGCTGTTTTGAAAAGGATGGGCCCGATGACCTGCGTCACTTTGACCCGGAGTTCACGGAGGAGTGCGTGACGGCTTCCATCAGCCAGCCCGTGCGCGTGAGCGTCAATGTGATCGAGGCGGACGATGCCTTCCTGGGCTTCTCGTACGTGCCACCCTCCAACTCCTTCCTGTAGCCCCCTCACCCCCCCCCCCAGCCGCCCCCTTGCGCATATCCAAGATCTGATCCGGCCCCTGGAACATGGACGCTGTTTCAGCAGCGATGTTACAAAAGGCTGTCACATATTCCCTGTTTACTTGTCAATATTTTTTGTATTACACCAAAATCTCACTGCACTGAGGAAGATGACACCATGACACACACCCTTGTATTTTTTGTTTATATCTCAAATGTTGTGTTGATAAAGGCAAAGGAGGTTAAGACTGCCAATTAACGGAACGTCCCACTTGAATGCTCATTGTGATATGCCCCTTTATAACTGGGTTATTAAAGTGCTTCTAATGCTCATAAAAAAGTGCATAGGAAGATGCGTAGGATGTGCGTGCATGCTTCAGCTTGAGCGTGTCTAACTTGCGGGGTTGAGGTATAATGTGCTCCTGTACAGCTCAAAGTCGTCTAAATGCACAATGTGAGGGGGGGCGGTAGAGTGTGCACTCAAGTCCTGTGAGGCGTTTATTTTTGCAAAGCAGTGCTTTGTCAAAGTTTATTAATGATCACATGTTTCAACTATTTCGGTTGGTAATGTGTAGAATGTTGAACAACTTTCTTGTCTGGGTCATGCAGATAATGCTAAATAAGTTGTATTTGATTCGCTTTGCAAACGTATTCCACATATACTGTTAAACGTTTAAATTTCACGTGACGTTAATATGTAAGATATTTGAAAGGTTTACCAGCAATTTAAGCATTTTCAATTTTTGACGATTGGAATGTAATATGCCTCCTTTTCGAGGGTTTGATTTTTTTTAAAGCATTATATATAGCACAAGCTACACAAATAAGTTGAGACTCAATCTATTCCATTGTAGAATTTCTTACGTTCTGTACCACAATTGGCATACAGTTAAAAAATATTACGCATTTATATTGAATGTAAAGAAAACAGTAATAGTTGCTTTTTTTATATATATAAATGTAGGGTACGTTCAATATTGTTTTCATTGGTTGACGATCTTTTAATATTCCTGCTATGCTTCATGTTTTTTTCAAAATATTATGATTTATGGTGGCCAAAATGTTTTGATTAATTTCACTTTTCCAATTAACAGGGAGAGATTATTGATATTTTCATGGTCTTAGTTTCTTTGTATCGTACTAATGTATATTTAATGCTGAAGCTCATTATGCCAGAGAATTATGGTGGAATCACAAACGTTTGAGCTGACAATCACTGTATCATAAATGCATGATAATTTTAGGCTTTGAAAGGGGCGATTTGTGGAATTACATTAATATTTTTTTATCCATTTATGTATACTATATGTGTGATTATTTTAAATTCTCGATGGTTCTTTTGACGGTAAGAGTTTGATATTTTTTCACATTTAGATGGTTTCAACAAAATACTGTTTGAAATGGGAACGGAAAACTTAAGTCCACAATATTGTACGGTTCTACAAGTGGAAAAATATTACGCATTAATGTGCCTTTCACACATATTGCAAGCTGGGAGAGCCCCATTATTTGGGGAAACAGCTGTTTTTGTCTGAATGTTTACTAAAACCAAGCATTTAATAAACTCAAAGACTCAGCTCTATTTCAATATATTTTTTTGCTGTGTAAGTTACACAAATGTGGCAAAATTGACCGTGTGCGCATTGTGATCTTGAATTCCTTAAATTCACACATTCGGTGCCTTACTCACTCTCTATACCCTGTTCGTGACAAACTATAGTCATGATAAAATAGCTGTAAAAAAAAAACCTTTCGACTACGAGTGAACCATATTCTTGAGTTACTACAAAATACCTGTAGTATTGATGTATTTGATTCATTTACAGACTTTCATGAATCTCCTTCATCAAGGCCTCACTCGTCATTGGTCATGAGAGTTATTTGACTGTACCTCATTACGCTGGTCAGTGTGCTTTGGTCGCTAATGTTGACAGTGGCCAGGAATAGTACTGAGGGTCACCAGGTAGCAAGCTAAGTGGTTACCACTTAGCTGTTTTTTTCCCAGTAGAATTTGGTTTTATAAATCCATCCCTCCTGTGCCATGCATGCAATACAGACTATCCCACGTTTATGATTATTAACAAAAGGTGGCGTGACATCGCAGTGAAATGTTTAGTGTGAATCTCTGCATGGAGAGTGTGTGACCAGTGGTTTGTGCAGTCGTTAAGTGATTCTACTGTGCACGTGAGGCTGCCCAAACCCACCCAGACAAGGTGGTGTGCCATCAAAGTGGATGATTGTATAAAACCACTAAGCGCTTTGTTTTTACCTTTCAAATTACAAACTAATCGAAAAGTCAACTTAATGTGTTCTGAATAGAATGTGGGTGGATCCTTTTTTTAAGTATCACAGCTGTTTTCTGTGTACATTGTTGTGTTCATCTCTGCGAAGTGCTTGGAACTGATTTGTTCATCCCTATTCTGGCCATGAATAAGGGTCCATTATAACCGAGTGTTTCTCTATAAGAGTCGTTCCTTTTCTCCCAACAGAAGAAAGTCGTGTTGTACACAAACCTCTGATACTCAAACTGCTTATGTTTACTGGTGTGTGCAAATATGACATTTTCTAACAAGCTTGTTAGTAAATGCTAGCAGGCCTAGCATAGTGCCTGTCATTGTTTTAAAACAAAGCTGTACCAAAGGAACACGCAACAGTTGTTTACAAGTACATAATTTCTGATTTAAGTTGGTTTTATAAAACCAATCTGGCATGCATGAGTGAGGAATCATCAGATATTCTCTTTCAGAATATTTAGATGAAAACCCATCTGATTAGAAATACACGTTATAATAATCAAGAGATTGATTTGCTACAGCACCTTCCCGTAAGCGATGATTGTGTATTGAGGGTTTTTCTGATGGTAGGGTAATTTGTTTTGTAACCATTTTCAATGCGTCTTCATCAAAACAGGCTTAATATTGTCAATTAACCTGCTGCTGCATGTGTTTTTTTGTGGAGTGTTTTTTTATGCATGTCCACTATCCGGTATTTAGAGATAGTGAATTTATAAACTTTATAATTCACCATTGAATTTATGACATTTTGTAAGCAATTTGAGCAGTGGCTGAGTGTGCATCAATGTAGTATTTTGATACATAATTGGTGCACACTAAACAGCAAAGTAAACCAGTGGCACACAGCAGGTTTCCAGAAAGGCCGAGGTTGATTTCTCCAGAGCTGTTATTTTTAAAAGCGTAATTTACAGTTTTTACATATCCACGTTATTCCACCGATTGTTTTGTAATTAAATGTGACGAGGAAATGAAAAATTGCCATTTTGGGGGGGGGGGGGGGGGGGGGCTACTTTACAAAAACGGATTGACATCTCGTGGACCTGACATTGATTCAATGATCCAGATGAGTACACACCTTTCTGGTCGTCTGTCTCTTGATCCAAATGTCCTAAGTGATGCTTAAGAGTAAACTAATCACAACTTTGTTAAAAGTTCGCATTTGTAATCACCCACGTGGTTGTGAAACATAGTAAACACATCTTCTTGGTTCTTTCGGGAAAGTCACGTAGAATGGAAATAATAAAATAATAAAAATAAAACAATAAAATACAATTCTCACGACGTTTCGGCCACAACGCAAGCAGCCGTCCTCAGGTAGAGAACAGGTATGTCGGGAAGACAGTGTCTGAATTATGTTTTATTTTTATTATTTTATGATTTCCATTCTACGTGACTTTACTGAAAGAACCAAGAAGATGAATCCCTGCAGTCACGAAAGCTTTAAATCGAAATGGTAAACACATCTCAACCAAAAAAGGCATTCATGAGAAAAAGTGACGCAGTTTACAAAGAGAGATGTGAAACACGATACTGACCAGGTGTGTTGGCTGAAACTGATATGAAAGCCAAATTCTCTGGCCGAGCCATCCCGTGCCAGCATGGCTATAATGTATTTATGTGAGTGCTAGAAGGGGGTGGGGGATTGCCAGCATTGTTGGCTTTAACTCCCAACAGATGTGAAGCTGACTGTTCGGCTTTGCTGGGAGCCTCATCCAAATACATTTCCCCAAATATAAATATGATTGCGCATGTATTGTACAGTGTTAATCCAATTAAAATTTTAATACAACCATGTAGGAAAATGGGATTTTTATTTAATCACTTCTGCGTTTCCACAGGGAATGTATGCACGTACTTGAGTTCACTTTTACAGAGTTTTGTTTGCCCATATGTTAATGTTAAAAAGGCACGTGTATGGAAAGTTGCCTTGCATTTGACTTGATGGGTTCTGCATTCAGATTAACTTACACAAATATGCACGATACACCTTTGCATCCTCTCCTGTAATTACCCAGTACAGTTATATATTTACTTACAAATTATCATAAATGTTGGTGTGGTGCATTGGTAACCACACTGGACTTGCGATCCAGAAGTCGGCAGTTCTATTTGATCTCTCAAAACAATCGGCAAACTTTCTCAAATCTCACTGCCCTTGTCCACCCAGCAATCTAAATAGGCACAACCACAGTTAAGTCTATTGGTAGCTCTCATGTGATGGAGTAAGAATATTCCAACCCCTTCCAAAACGTCTGGCCAGTGTGGACGAATAGGAAAAATCTACCCCCTACACGGGTCTCGATGGAGCTTCTTCTCGTGGAGGCATGCCTGCCTGCCATAAGTAATGCGAGCAAATAATTGCAGAACTGCATCTTTAGATTTTCCTAAAATTGAGGGTCGTTGAAATGCCTTTGGAAAACATTTTCAAATGCCAGTAGTACACCATAACTGTTGTAACACCGTTTTCTTTATCTTAAGGCTGCTTGTTTAAAATACTGCCATTTACTCAATACTGTACGTTGTTGCCGTATTACACGTATAATTTTGTAAAAAAAAAACTGTTGCTTGGAACTGGTTACTAGCTGAATGTTCTGAGTCATCCATCTCACGTGATCACATCCTGTCCATGGCACCACATCCAGCCATGAAAATAGGATCTGGCATAGCTTGACCTTTGCGTTAGAAACTGTTGGACACTTTGATCCGTCACGCTTTAAAAGGTGTGTGCGCGTTTACAGCAGTTTTGTCAAACACTGGATAAGCCCCCCCACCCCCACACTTCGAAACGTGAGAGTTATCTGACCATATTTCACCATGCAGATCTGAATGCAGGAGGGGAGTCTAGGTGTTGATGCATGAGTGGATACTCTGGTACTGCCCCTTGTTGACACTGTAGCCAGATTATATACACACTTACTGGTAGGAACCTCCTGGTTACACCAGCCCACGGGATTATTGTGTCCGTCCGTCGTGCATCAAAAAATGGGAGGGGTGGAGGGGAGGGCTGGGTGGGTGGGGGGTGGGGCTGGGTGGGGAGGGGCTGGGTGGGTGGGGGGTGGGAGGAGTAGGGCTGGATGGGGAGGGGCTGGTCACCCCGTGGTGCCCTTATAAAACTCAACGTTTAACCTACTCACGCCGGCTTGTGCCGACCCTCACAGTCGGCCATATTTGCGGAATACACCACGCCGCCGTTGACCCTGGCCATTGACCAAGCAACCCAACGTTCCTACCAGCTCCCTCCGCAGGAATGTGTTGTGTAATACTAACAAGGTAGTTCAAAGTTGCCTATACATTTGTCATGAAGCCAGCCAGTACATCCACAAAGACATTTATTGATAAAAAATACAATATTGGACAATAATTCAGTCATTTCAAATTCTTACCACACACAATTATTTTCTAAGAATGCCAGTGTTGGCTATAATTATAGGATTCAGTGTGCACTGTTACAGTAGTTTTCTTGCAGTCCATTGTATTGCGCATATGTGGTTGTGTGGTTATTGTTGCATCCTCATTCATTGTTTTATTGTCACCAGCAGATACTGATGGCTGATTATGAAGCTGGTTAGCCTTTGTATTTATCTTCCTTTCTTTTTTCTCTCCACACCTTTTAGGAATACAAAAATATGATTCCTTTATTGATTACATTAATTTACACCAACAAGCTTGCAGTAGATTTTTCCATCATTTGCATTTATAGCGTCTTAAAAATTTTTAATACAGGTGAATAGAAATGTGAACAGACAGCAGTTGTTGACAATATATTTTACAGTCGTGGTGTTCTAAAATTCACTCACCCCAAAATTGATTGTTTAACTTCTCTTCCAGGATGTAAAATCCAATCACAATGATGAAGGAAGAAGAGAAAAATATGACCATGGCTTCGAAGTTCATTTCATTCAGCAATGGATATGCCCAGATGTCAGCATAATGTTTAACCCAGATAATCCTGAAAATAAAGTGCGCCAGGTTGTTGGGGAGAAATAAAATGAACATACACAAGCATTAGCTATAGAAAGTTAGTTTCTTTATCCCTTCAGTCATCGTACATTTGTAGGAATCTCCCAAGCAAAGTTAAATGCAATAATACTCGGTTCATGTCTGTACAAAGTGCTGTGCATCCAGGAAATGTCTACAGCCAGGATTGATTTCGTCAGTCAAATCCAAACCCATTCGCTTTCCCTTCAATCGTTTTGGATTCGCCAGAAACCATTATTGTGTACGTGTGATGCCCATCACATTTGTATATCTGATTATAATCATCTGTGCATTCAAATGTGAGATCGTTTGATGTTTGAACTGTCAATCAAAATTTCATGGCACGTTTGTTTCATTTTGAACCCGTCAAACAAAAATACTCATTTATCTAATGCAACTCGTGGCCATAAAATTCGTTGCTCTTGGTTACCATGTTCTTTGTAGGTCTGCGTGGTAAGTGTAAAATCAAAATTGGTGAAGTCATTTAAAAATAATACATTTACTACCGAGTGGGCTTACCATGACACATAGGTGATGCTGAAAGCTGCAAGAGTCGCTATGCCTGCCTTCTTGGAAGGGTACACGTGTCGTGTTGCATACATCTCTGCCAGCACTATTGGTACAATTGTGGTGTGCTGTGAAAAGAAAGGGACATTTTTATATCGCTGTTCATTGTGGACAGACACCTGTTCGAACATTTAGCAAAATTACAAATGCAGGTACACTTATGTGTTTATAAATTCAATCTAAATGTAATAGTTATTTCTTAGTAAACTTCACTGCAGCAGATAATACGTAAAAATGTAAGTGTTTTGCACAATCATAAACTGAAGTGTATTACGGTAACTACTAACTACAGTTAAGAAAAAATGCCGACAATGTTCATTGCATCTTAAGGCTTCAATTCAGCACATTACCATTGCGTGATTTTGCCATTTTGGGATAATCCCATCCAGTTGCTTCGGGTACACCAACTCACGGTCAACAGCATAAATGGTCCAGAATGAGGTCATTACAAACTGGTCAAAAAAAACACACAAGAAAAACAAACATGAGTGCAATCACGCGTTTTCGAGATTTACAAAAAAAAATATTAAGACAGGTGGAGAATAATGCGTGCCTCTGAACTCACCGCTGCCAGAGGGAAAGCCAGGGTGGTAAAAACGTTGTCTCGCAGTTGCGTCAATGTTTGCAGGGCATTTCTCCCTTTTGCCTTTGCTTTCCCTTGGGTGAGTGCCAAAATATCGACCAACACGCAAATACCGAAGTAGACCAACTGTAGAATCTGTGATATGAGAAACACGCAGCGTACATTTCAATAATTGCAATAAAACGTTAATATTTTTCACGTAAAGTTAAATAATGTTTAGACCATGCATTGCTTAAATGTCATCTAACAAGTACGTTGTTCAAGAGGACATTGCATTACCGTGAGCTATTCAATATCGTATACATGGCATATTTGTTGTTATGTTTAATTATTTGTTTGATATTCAATAGCATTCCTTAAATGCATTCAATATATCCTCAATAATCGACAATATTCAATAACGCATTTAAATAACATCAAATAATACATTGTTTAAAAGCATGCCTATACAGGTCACCATACATAAATGGGGATTACCTGTAAGCAGACAACAGGTACTGCTATTTTATTACACGCAAACCACAGAAGGTACAAGAACAGAGTATGTGTAATGTACGTTGATTTAATAACCCAACCGGCAATGGATATCCATTGCAAATTTTTTTTGATATTCATTAACCCACCCCCCTTTTCAGGAGGGCTAACACGTGACGTCATTATATCTATCCCGCTATTTAAGGAACAAGAGGATTTCTCCACAAATCTGGATGTCGCCTGATGAAGCTAGTTGTAATTACTGTCGAAACGTCATAATCAGGTTGTCAATGTAGATTTCGTTACGAATTGGCATGTTCTGTTTACGTTACAAACGTTACAAATTGGCTGTGGCGGCTTTAACGACATTTATATTTACACGATTTAACCAAAAAAAACATTTACTATGGATTAAAATAACGATTGATTATTAAGAATATACATACATATTCGTAATACTGCATATTAACAAAATGTCTCAATTATCAAACATTTATACAAATAAGCTACATTTAAACGCTGTATATTTTCAACACCTTGTGTCTACTGAATCGACAGTAGTGTCCGTACAATTTACACATTTCTGGTTGCAGTGGTGGTGGGATTCTTTGCTTTGATCTTGGGGCTACAAGCCACGTGGGGGAGTGAGCCACCCGGCCATTCACTTCCGGGTTTCACAATCACATTGCGAGGTTTAATCGGTCCAGGCTCCGCTATTGAGACGTGTAATTCGTACGTGAACATTAATTCTAAAATTAATCAAGGATTTCTGTGCATTGCGAAAGGTTATCGAGTTAAAAAAAAAGAGAGAATCGGCTTCTCTCCATAAATCGAGGCGTTATCTTGGAATTGGCAACGTGGGCGTGGAAAACGAAATCCTTAACACGCATTCGGACGTGTTAATGGGCAAATAACTTTGTTTTGTGAACTCGGCGAAACATTCCAGTTGCATTGCGTATTTTTCTTTGGATCTTTAGGTAAAGTCACAATAATGCTTCATTGTTTTAATGCTGGTGGTTTTAATTTAGGCCCACATTTGCAGCCCGTTTTCCTGAATTGTTACCCGGATTTGGAGTGGCCTGCTCGGCTGACTGAAGTCTCCTCTCTGCCTGTGCCCTCCAGACCAGAGCAATACATCCCACACACACGATCCGACCAGAATTTAACATGTATAAAATAATCTGTCTTTCGTATATTGTCAAGCAGTTAAACACATTGACAACATTTAAACACCGCGTATTTATGCATGTGCACGTTATTCCACACACGTCTATGTAAGGGCACTTGTATTGTTCTGTTTAACACGTGGACTTTCGCGACCAATATCCAAAGGTTTTTGGGGGGTTAGATCTCGTAAATATAAATGTGTCGTTAAGCCACCACCACCCGACACAGCCAATTAGTAAGGATTGTCAACCCATGAAGATCCATACGGCGTACAGCCGTTTCAATACGGGCAAAAAAATGTTCACTTTATATTTGTTTAATTTGTACCTATCTACGTGACTTTACCGAAAGACCCAGAGAACATTTGTTCTCTGTGTTTCTCCCTTGTGATTGAACTTTGTAGCATGCACATTGAGATGTATAAGGGCACGGGTGATTAATAAGGTTTGAATTGGTCTGTAACAAGTTGCCAGGCATGTATAATCATACTGATTAGATTATAAGGCATCACATTTAAGTAAACCCTATGGGTTTACAGGTATGATTAGAAGCTTGTGTACTGCGGTATGAATAGGGGAGGCAGAGGCTGGCTTATATAAAAACAAAACCAGAAGACACAATCTTGATTTGAAGCTTTCGTGACTGCAGGAATCCATACTCTCTGGTTCTTTTGGTAAAGTCACGTAGGTGAAAATAAAAATAACTTAACACCATTGCAACCTCCTTTGCCAGTAGCAAAATATGATAATTGGTGTCTTTGAGTTGTGCGCCTTTTGGCGTCATCTGGTCCAACACCATGTGAGACTAGGCTCTAAGGAAAGCTGTCTCGGGTGTGGACCAATCGATTTCAAGGAAAGTTCATACATTATCAGAGTTGTGTTTTTTGTTTGCATTCCGACCGCAGGTATTGTGGTCAATGCAAACATGACTCCTTGTAAAAAAAAGGTGTCAGCTTTGTTGCCAGATAAAAGGGTAAAAAAACACCTATAACTTAATGAAATCACGACGTTTCGGAAGTAACACAAGCTTCCGTCATCAGGTGGGACAACTACAGTAATTGTTTTTTTTCTGTGGTCCCACCTGATGATGGAAGCTTGTGTTGCCTCCGAAACGTCGTGATTTTATTTATTTTTATTTTCACCTACGTGACTTTACCCAAATAATCAAAGAGTTTGCAACACATACTCTTTGAGTATGTGCTCTTGGCGAATTGCTACAAATGAATGCACAGCAACAACAACAACAACCACCACCGCATCCCCATTCGGCCACACTAAGTGGCAGTAACGATCTCACAGCGGCGCTCGTGCCAGGCTAGGTGCACTTTGAGGCCACGTGAAGTGTGGAAGGGAGGGAGGGGGTCACGGGATGGACCCAGGTGCGCCATCTGTGCTCCCTACTGTGAATGCACTTCAAAGAGAAAGATCCCCCGTGTAGCCTTCACAGAATGATGGGGGCAAGGGCTGTTAGCGAGCACCTATTATCAAGGCCGCCTTTGTCTCCCCCGTAGCGATAATTGCACACACCACATCAGGTACTCATTTGAGGCCGAGTCGACCTAGGGGAGGCCCAGGACCGGTTCGAATAATCGTCACTGGGCATTGGTGGCCTTGAACTCGAATCGTGGCCGGAACAGCGCACGAATTGCCAGCACCACGCCCGGCCACCTTTATCTCCCAAGTGGCGATAATTTCCACACCGCAACGTGCACTCATTTAAGGCTCAGTCAACCCACGGGAGGCCCGGGACCGACACTTCGCACGGTCGACACTTACCAAGTCGATGAAGGTCAGGTACTTCCAGTGGCCTCCGTAGCTCAGCGAGCCGGGCAGCGTGGCGGTGTTGTCCACGTGGAGGGCCACGGTGGTGCCGTACCACGTCGTGGTGGCTGCGTGCAGCGCCAGTAGCCACGTGGTGCTCAAGCGGCCAGCCATGGATTCTTATTCTTCTTATTGTTCCTATTGTTCCGTTTCTTCTTCTTCGTCTTCGCTGCTTCCTGGGTGCTCGATTGAAAAGAGCAGCTGATACGGCTGCGGCGCTACGCCGGTGCGTTACTCGGGATGTACCATGTTCACTTCCTTGAAAACATATGGGGGGTTTGGGAGTTTCATTTTAAACAAAACATTTAAACTAGTTTTGGGGTTTTGCCAGGTAAAGCCCCGCCGAGCTATGCGGCTCTTTTTGCAGAAGCGACCTGGACACTAAATAATAAATTCAACGGAAGTGGCTTATCATCATGTGGACATTTTCCCCCGTAAGAAAAAAAATCGGAGGACCCCGAGAAAAATCCACGCAACCACGGGGAGAGAGACGCGCAAAGTCCACATCTACAGCAGCAGGCGTCGTCAGGGTCAGGATTGAACCCACGAACTCCTGTATACCAGGCGAGGTAGTTAACATATCCAAGCCACCGTGATGATGATGAGAGAGAGACAAACTCAAAATTCACAGCAGGCATCGTCAGGGTCGGGATCAAACCCACGACCTCCTGTATACCAGGCGAGGTTGTTAACATATCCTAGCCACCGTGATGATGATGATGATGAGAGAGAGACACACAAACTCAAAATACAGAGCAGGCGTCGTCAGGGTCGGGATCAAACCCACGACCTCCTGTATACCAGGCGAGGTTGTTAACATCTCCGAGCCACTGTGATGATGACGATGAGAGAGAGAGACAAACTCTAAATACACAGCAGGCATCGTCAGGATTTGGATCGAACCCACGACCTCCTGTATACCAGGCGAGGTAGTTAACATCTCATAGCCACGGTGGCAAGATGTTAACGTTAGATGAGCGCGCCAGTATGGACAGACAGAAACCCATTAATTGTACACATTGTGTCAAATATTAGTACAGTTTAACGCGGAGGCATTTGCTACAAATATTATCCATTAATTTTTTGTTCACCACCCCTCTGGCCTTCGCACCTGATAGGCTCACAGTGGTGACATTACCTTTACTCTATTTAATAAGATCGAAAGAAGGAAGACGTCTTGACAATTCTGGCAAATCGCCTGATGAAGCTGGTTGTTGTAATCACCAGCGTAAACGTCGCAGTACTCAAATTGTAAAATGTTGCAGTGGGTTTACTCTCCAACACACAACAGTGTTCTGAAGTCGTAAAACTAATTGGCACGTTTTGTTTACGTGGCAAACCGATACCTGCCAACTCCGTATCAGTGCCCTACCTTAATACAGAACATCCCGTGCCTATAAACATGTCAAAGTTCATCATACAAAGTCCCATCACAAGGGAGAAACACAAACAAATAAATAAATGCCCGTATTGAAACGGCTGTACGCCGTATGGACCTCAAAACCCAATTTCCCTGTACAAGAATACAGGGTAAACCGTATGGGATGACAGATATTCTACTATCCACTACGCTACTATATACTACACTATACACTACATACCTGTCAGGTGGCGGGTTTTACGACACATTTATATTTACGCGATCGAACCCAAAAAAAACCTTTGTTATGGAAAACATTTTTACAGTATTCTTAAATGTCAGCAGATAGAAATAATGTTTTATACAAATCTGACTCCCCCCCCTACCATACCAATTGATGATGGTGATAAAGTTACAATTCACAAGTAAACCACGAGTGAATGTACCTACAATGCACAATTTAAACAAACGGATTGCATGTGTTGACTTTAATTGTGGATGTATGTATGGGCGGTGTAGTGCAATGCAGTGTTTGTAAACATTTAACCGCAATGGCACTTAAACCAGGCTATCTATGTGCAAACTTTTAAATAAACACGTACACGTACTGTACAAGTAGTTTGTGCTTTATTACCAGCAGTATGGAACACACCGATAAAGCTGATGCTTTTTGCTTCATGGAAACTAAATATTGCCGGATTTACAATACTGGATCGCTTTTTGCAACCATTCATTCAATGAATGAAGTGATACATCTGTTCAGGAAGTCGATAGCATTAACGGGCTGACTGCTGAGACCCACAAAGTCGAAACCAGTTCAGAGTTCAAACAAATGTGAATGGAAATGAACACCATTGTTATCATTACACCCAGGAAAGCCTCACTGACTTTTTTCAGAAGGGTCCTGCCAGGTTATCGCAGTAGGGAGCGATGATTGCTTTGCGCACTCACAATTGGAGTAAATTCGCGAGTATTTTTTGTATTTACATTTGCTAAATATTTGGAACCAAGATGCAGTTTCAGTTTTCAGTTTCATTTGTTTGGTATAGCCCTGTGAGCCATTCGGCTCTTGAATCGGGTGCAACCGCAACAAACAAAAGACAAAAACATGAACAAGAAAACATCTTAAAGTGACTGCGCAAACAGAAAATCCAGGAAAAACTGCAAAGCCTTCCAGAAAAAAAGCACCGTACACCAACGCTGGGCAAAAATCCCAGTGGGATGCAAGTCGAACAACAACCACAAGACAACGTAGATTAAAGCCATCATTCTAACTCCGTACTACAACAAACAAACATGGCCAAATATTCTTAGGTTTTTTTTGGTAAAGTCACGTAGGTAAAACATCAAAATTAATAGAAATAAAATAAAGATCACGACGTTTCGGAGGCAACACAAGTCTCCGTCATCAGGTGGGACCGTCACAGCCAGATTAGCTGCCACATTCTGATGAGCCCCCCCCCTCTCCTCCCCCTCAACTCGCTTTTAAGGGATTACATCTTGAATCATTGCCTCACTTGATGCAGCTAATCTGGCTGTGACGGTCCCACCTGATGACGGAGACTTGTGTTGCCTCCGAAACGTCGTGATCTTTATTTTATTTATTTCTATTAATTTTGATGTTTTACCTACGTGACTTTACCGGAAAAAACCTAAGAATATGAATCCTTGCAGTCACGAAAGCTTCAAATCTAAAACATGGCCAAACCCAAAAACTTTTCGAAATCACCAAAATAAAGCCATAAGCAATGTAACAGTCATCATAGGAATTGTTACCGAAATTTAACAATAAACGACATAAACAACATGTACCACCAAACCCTGTAGCCATAGCTGGCTGCATGAGTCACTCCACAACAGCAGGAGCATCAGTAGGAGTATACCATTTTTTAAAATGCTCCTTTAAAGATCAGCACACTAAATCAAAACACAAGATCACACGTTGCAGACAACACGAAGACCTAACTCTTGCGATCGGCCCAATATTGCGAATGTCAAGGAGGCCATGTGCCGTTGTGGAACGCACTTGATGATAGCAACAACGGGCAACGTTTGAGAGTTACGCGAATAGCAGCCCTCGTTGTTTCATTACACGCGCTTGCAATAGGCAATCTAAGCCAATTAACGATTCGACGATGTCCAAGGGGCTATTCCCACCTCCCCCCGGCGTTCGGACTCAGTTGGAAAAGTCCACATGAGGTGGGCAAATGCCTTTTCGCGTCTGCTACGCACTCCGTAGTTCGCCCTCATTGTGCATGAATATTATATTTTTGTTGCATTCATGCCCCGTTATTTAACGCTCATTGTTGAGAGCACGTTTCGCATCCAAATGCGCTTGAGAGTGTTAGCAATAATCGGCATCGCTTGATAACGCTTGTCACCGCACCTTTACGTTGATGTTTGGTGTTTATGTTGAGCCGAAATGTTGGTGGGACGGGAGTCCGTGTCGTTTGCGTTTCACGAATTTTAATATCACGGGAAATACGCGGGGTCCTGCTGGTCTAATAAATAAGATGGGTCTCCTACATTTCATTGTTTAGTCGCCACTCCATGTAATACAATAACCATTGTTTCCCCCTTCATCGCTAAAGCAACAGTGCTGAATAATGTGGTGACTGCGATATATTTAGCTACATCAAATAAACAGGTCCCCGTTCTGTATTACCACATACAGATTACAATATTTTTTGTCCACGGTTCGAATCTTGCGGACGCCCTGGTTACTACTGCGGCTGTAGTAACAATTACGTACGCGCTGTCTGCTTTGCAGAGGAAATTAAAACTATTCTGTCATCTCATTCGAAGAGTTTGGCCATTGTGTGTCGGCGTCATGGTTACAACAGTTTCCACATTTTAAAAGTTACCCGCAAATTACTCTCATTGGGAGTGTGATTGTCAATCATTGCTCCAGCTACTGCGATAACTTGGCAGGAACCTCCTTATAAAGAAGAGACGTGAAATTATTGGAGCCTTTGCTGGGTAAACAACTGTGAATAATACTTTTCCAAACACATTTGTTGAAGCAAGTACTATACACTCTGGACAGGTTTTGAGTTTCTAAGGGGTCTCATCAGTAATCAGGACCTGTTAAACAACTGCTATTGGGTTGCCAATGCGAAAAGCAATACTCTATCCAGCAATTTTTCGTGAAGCAAATACCCCATCTCTGTTGGTGTGGTCCATACTGCTGAAAAAACAGTTTATGTGTGTTTATTTTAAACTCTGCACATACATAGCCTGGTTTATGTGCCATCACGGTTAAGGTTCACAGACACCATACTACACAGTGCAAAACTACACGATTATAGCCAGCACATGTAGTACATTTTACAATACAGTACAGTATAGTTAAATTGTGCATTGTGTTTACGTTCACTTTGGCTTACTTGCGAATGTAGCTGAATCACTATCGTCTGCTTCACTAATGTCAATTGGTAGGTGGGTCAGGGTTTTATTGGTATCAATATATATTTTTCCCCCATCCGCTGACATTTAAGAATAGTAATCATGTTTGACACAATACAATTCATAGGCTCAATGGCTACCGTATCCTGGTGCTGATCAAAATTAAAACAGAATCTGTATCAATACTCGTTGAATCCGATGAGCTTCAACGCACTTTAGCACAGAAGGAAGTGAGATTTCAGGCTATAGGTTTACGTTGGCACAGGAAAAGCATATTGGGAAATGCTCATTTTCTATGGGGGGAAGGTGATGCACCTGGTTATACCATAGAAACCTGTTTGCAGCAACATCAAAAACATGCATGTTTCAAACGGCAAGGTCGTTCATTAACATGATACAAAAAAAATTCTAGACTCATAGAACGCACCATATACTTAAAAAAAAACACAAGTCAGCAAAGCAAAGCAATCAATTTGCACTTACACATTGCGAGCAAACCCGGGGTCCAAAATTATCGTTCAAAAAGCTGAACATGGTACATCCCTAGTTACGCATTAGGGTGGCGTGGGATTAACCGAGCCGGCGTATTTGCATTTTTTCGACCGAGCACCCAGGAAGCCGTGAAGAGGAACAAGAGGAACAAAAAGAATCCATGGCTGGCCGCTTGAACACCTTGTGGCTCCTAGCGCTGCACGCAGCCGTCACGGGGTGGTACGGCACCACCGTAGCCCTCCACGTGGACAACACCGGCACGCTGCCAGGCGGCTCGCTGAGCTACGGAGGCCAATGGAAGTACCTGACCTTCATCGACTTGGTCAGTGTGTGCGTGTGTCTGTCCGTGTGTGTCTGTGTGTGTGTGTCTGTGTGACTGTGTGTGTGTATAGTGGGGGGAGCGGTAGTGTAGCGGTTAGCGCGCTGCGCTATGAACCTGGCGACCCGGGTTCAATTCCCGCTCACGGCCAACACCGGTGACGATTATCTGAACCGGTCCCGGGCCTCCCCTAGGTCGACTCAGCCTCAAATGAGTACCTGGTGCGGTATGTAAACATTGCCACTGGGAGACAAAGGCGGTCGGGCGTGGTGCTGGCCACCCACCCCCTCGTGTACCGTTCCGGCCTTCATAGGTGCTCGCTAACAGCACTTGCCTCTACAGTCTGTTTAGGCTAGACGGGGGATCTTTGTCTTTGTGGCTTTCACAGGTGCTACTCGCCAACAAGCACGTGCCCCCCATCTCCACGCCACTGAGAGTCTGTTTAGGCTACATCGAGTTGGGGGGTGTGGTCTTTGTGTAAAGTGTTGTGTGTAAGTGGGAGTGTAGCGATTACATTTCGATTGGAAGCTTTCGTGACTGCAGGGATTCATCTTCTTGGTTCTTTCGGTAAAGTCACGTAGAAGGGAAATAATAAAATAATAAAATAAAATTTATAATAATATAATAAAAATAAAACAAATAAAATTTACTATGTTTTATTTTTAAAATACAATTTATTATGTTTTATTTTTATTATTTTGTTATTTCCCTTCTACGTGACTTTACCGAGTGTAGCGATTATTGTTCTGCGTCCCGACGATTATAATCTGAAACGGTCATGGGCCTCCCCTAGGTCGAATAAAAAAAAACATCGCCACTGGGGAGACAAAGGCGGCCGTGGGTGGTTTTGACCACCCACCCGCTCGTGTGCCGTGCCGGCCTTCATTGGTTCTACTCGCCAACAGCAAACTTGCCCCGACAGTCCGTGAAAGGTTACACGGGGTGTCGTTGTCTTTGTCTTTGAAGTGCATTTATATTCACAGGAGGTAGCAACAGGTGGCCCATCTACCAGTCGTCTCATTTGGTGCCACGGGCATCAGTATCTGTCCCGACAAACTGTCAGCAAGAGAGCCCTCCACACTTCCACGTGGCCTCGAAGTGCACCTAGCCTGGCACAAGGGACGTGGTGATGACTGGCGGCGGTTGTGGTGCATTTATTGACTGCAGCAGCACGGATCCTCCCCGCCAAGGGTTGCCCCCTTTATAATGGACTAGCGGGAAGTACCTGGCGTTGCTCGGGCAAAAAATATATATTTCAAAACTATTCTTAAAAATCTAACATATACACACACAGATAGCAAGCAAATGTGAAAGCCCGGTGGGCCGTTTGTCCATTTATCCACAAACAACATAATAAGAGGCCCAAAAGGTATAGAAAGTGGAGGGTAAATAGTTGATTTTGTTAATTTGTTTTATTTTATTGTTTTTTTATTTTAATATTTACCCCCGCGTAGGTCTAAATACGTACACACCCTCCATACAACAGAGTTGCTCGGTCAATGGCCAGGGTCAACGGCGGCGTGGTGTGATCCGCAAATATGCCCGACTGTGAGGGCGGGCACAAGCCGGCGTGAGTAGGTTAAACGTTGAGTTTTATAAGGGCACCACGGGGTGACCAGCCCCTCCCCACCCAGCCCCACCCCCCACCCAGCCCCACCCTCCCCACCCAGCCCCTCCCCACCCTCCCCTCTCCACCCAGCCCCACCCCTCTCATTTTTTGATGCACGACGGACGGACACAATACCGTGTTGGCTGGTGGAACCAGGTGGTTCCTACCAGTAAAACATCCCATATTTTGGCTTTTGTATAATGTGAGAAAATATTAATTTGTATTGCAAATATTACAATGCTGTGTTTCTAATATCACAGATTCTACAGTTGGTCTACTTTGGTCTTTGCGTGTTGGTCGATATTTTGGCACTCACCCAAGGAAAAGGAAAAGAGATGAAGGTCTTGCAAACATTGACGCAACTTCGAGACACCATTTTTGCCACCCTGGCTTTTCCTCTGGCAGTGGTGAGTTCAGAGGCACACTATTTCTCCCGCAGAGTCTTAACACTTATTGTTGTTAAACTCAAAAAAATGTGAATACCCTCACGGTTGTTCTTTTTTTTCTCACCAGTTTGTAATGACCTCAATCTGGACAATTTATGGCAACGAACATAAGCTGGTGTACCCGAAGAAACTGAACGTTGTTGTACAGCAGTGGCACGATCACGCGATGGTAATGTGCTGAGATTTTGACTTAAGATGTATATTTAACTTCTTTGCCACCTTACGTAGCCAACTATGCTAATTGGAGATATACACTGAACACAGTCGGCGTTTGATGCTAACAGTACTTTGATGTTTCCATAATACACCTCAGTGAATCATTGTGTAAAACCCAATCAATGTGACGTTTTATCTGCTCGTGTGCGTTTTGTCACAGAATCATAACCTACAATTAGATCGCATTTAGAAGCACATGTGTACCTACAAGTATAGTTTCAAATATTTGCTAAGAGGTGTTTGTCCACAATGAACAGTAATATTAAAATCTGTCCCTTTATTTCACAGCACACCACCATTGTACCAATAGTGCTGGTAGAGATGTATGTAACACGACACGTGTACCCTTCCAAGAAGGCAGGCATAGCGACTCTTGCGGCTTTCTTCATCACCTATGTGTCATGGTAAGTGTTGTTAGGGATATTTAAAATGATTTGGTGAGTTCACCGATGTAAAATTTACACTTAGCAGGCAGACCTACCAAGAGCATGGTGACCAAACGCAACACATTTTATGGCCACAAGTCGCATTTTAAGAATGTACATTGTTTCACAAGTTCAAAATGAAATGTGCCGTGACAGTTCTAACGTCAAAACACACCTCGGATTTTAATGCATAAATTAACATAATTAAATATACAAATGTAATGGCCATCACATCGAAATAATAATGGTTCCTTGCGTGTGCAAAACGATTGAATGGAAAGTGAATGGGTTGGATTTGACTGATGAAAACAATCCTGACCGCAGATATGTCCTGGCTGCCCAGCACTTTGGATCGACATTAAACGAGTATTTCGTTGTAACTTTGCTCGGGAGATTTATAACACATTCCTGCGGAGGGAGCTGGTAGGAACGTTGGGTTGCTCGGTCAATGGCCAGGGTCAACGGCGGCGTGGTGTATTCCGCAAATATGCCCGACTGTGAGAGCGGGCACAAGCCGGCGTGAGTAGGTTAAACGTTGAGTTTTATAAGGTCACCACGGGGTGACCAGCCCCTCCCCACCCAGCCCCACCGCTCCCACCCCCCACCCAGCCCCACTCTCCCCACCCAGCCCCTCCCCACTCTCCCCTCCCCACCCAGCCCCACCCTCCCCACCCTGCCCCTCCCAACCCTCCCTTCCCCTCCCCACCCAGCCCCTCCCTGCACGGCGGACACAATAATCCCCTGTGGGCTGGTGTAACCAGGAGGTTCCTACCAGTATAAATCCACTATGACTCTGAGGGTAAAGCAAATGTCCTGAATGCGTGTATGTTCATTTTACATGTAATAAGTGTAATATCTCCTCAACAACCTGATGCACTTTGTTTTCAGGATTATCTGGGTTAAACATTACTCCAACATCTGGGCGTACCCATTTCTGAATGAAATGAGCTTCGAATCCAGGGTCATGTTTTTTTCTTCTTCATTCATGCTTGTGATTGGATTTTACATCGTGGGAGAGAAGTTAAACAATGTATTTTGGGGTGAGTGAATTTTAGAACGCTACGCCGTTAACATATACACCATAAACAACTGCTGTCTTTGCACATTTCAATTAACCTGTATTGAAACATTCACATTTTTTATGCTGGATTAAGACGTTATGAATGCAAGTGGTGGAAAATGAGACCGAAAGCTCATATTGGTGTAAATGTAATAAATAAAATAACTAGATTTTTTTGTATTCCTAAAAGTTGTGGAGAAAATAAGCAAGGAAGATGAATACAAAGGCTAACCAGCTTTCATAATCAGCAATCAATGTCTGCTGGTAACGGTAAAGCAATGGACAAGGAGGCAACATTAACCACACAACCACGTGTGTGCAACACAGTGGACTGCAGGGACACATCATTTCAACAATGCACACTGAATCACATTACCATCGCCAACACGATGGTATCAGAAATATTCATTTTTATTTTACACGCTTTTATTTAACTCACTCTGTTGTTAATTGGTTCTTTACCCTTCTATCTGGCAACAAAACTGACACCTTTTTGCAAGGAGTCATGTTTGCATAGACCGCAATACCTGCAGTCATAATACAAACAAAAGAACATAACTCTGATTGCGGTCTATGCAAACATGACTCCTTGCTAAAAGGTGTCAGTTTTGTTGCCAGATAGAAGGGTAAAGAACCAATTATCATATTTTTACTGGCAAATGAGGTCCCCATAGTGTAGTCACTCTGTTGTTGTTGTCGTATCCTCAAATCTTGTAACTAAATTTTAACCCACTTCCCAATGTGGTATCGACTGCAAACTTTGTATACTTATGTCTTAATGATGACAATACTATATTCTATTATAAAAAATATATATATTTTTTCACAATCTTTTTACACGCTTTCTATTAACTCACTCCGTCTGTTGTTGTCGTACACTCAAATCTTGTAACTCAACTTTAACCCATTTCCCAATGTGGCATCGACTGCAAACTTGGTATACTCATGTCATACTGATGACAATACTATATTCTATCATTAAAAAAAACATATTTTTATATGTTATGTTTCGCCTTGTCTCTAATTGTCCACGCTCAACTCACGTTGCCATTTCCTGGAGTCGTGGAGTTCTGCCATTACTCATACGGTACATTTCATTAAAGCATGTTTTTATTAAAAGTATTTTTTAAATATTACTTATTATTGTATATGATAAGAATTTGAAATGTTTGATGGAATAAAGCCCAACATTGTTTTTTTATTACTATCACTAAAATGTTGCATTCCTCTCTCTCTATGTACTGACTGGCTTCGTAACAAATGCACTCTGCCACTTGAAAATAGCTTGTTCGTATTACACAACTGTGCACATATAACGGGGCTACATTGTCAGCAAGGAGCAGTGTCAGAGTATCCATTGTACTATGCCCCAACACCTAGACTCCCCTCCCCCGCCTTCACTGGCCAACGTGGTGAAGTATGGCTAAAGCACCCTCGCGTTTCCCAGTGTGGGGAGGGCCTTAGCCAGTGTTTGACAGAAGAGATGTACACACACACACACAGATCCTTCAACCAAACTCAGTATAATACTGGTAGGAACCACCTGGTTCCACCAGCCCACAGGGGATTATTGTGTCCGTCCGTCCGCCGTGCATCCAAAAATGGGAGGGGTGGGGCTGGGTGAAGAGGGGATGGTGGGGAGGGGCTGGGTGGGAAGGGGCTGGGTGGGGAAAATGGACGAGCGGCTGGGTCGGAGGGGAGGGGCTGGGAGGGGAGGGTGTTGCTGGGTGGGGGGTGGGAGGGGTGGGGCTGGGTGGGGAGGGGCTGGTCACCCCGTGGTGCCCTTATAAAACTCAACGTTTAACCTCACAGTCGGCCATATTTGCGGAATCCACCACGCCGCCGTTGACCCTGGCATTTGACCGAGCAACCCAACGTTCCTACCAGCTCCCTCCGCAGGAATGTGTTTTGTAAAGTGCGACCCTCCAATTGTGCCACACCTGATCAAAGTGTCCAACAGAGTTTCTAACGCAAAGGTCAGAACCTTTGACAATTCCTATTTACACGGCAGGATGTGGTGCCAAGGACAATGTGATCACGTGAGATTGGTGACTCGGAACATGCGTCTAGTAACACGTGCAAAGTAACACCCGTTTTATTGGGGGGGGGGAGGGGAGGGAACAATTGTAATACAGGAACAATCTGCAGCAGTGTTCTTCACTAGTTTTTTAAGGGGGCCACTTTCACCCAATAAGACACCAGTGTGAGGGCTGCCACACATTTTAAACAATTGGGGGGTTGACAGCAGCACAATGATGTTGATGATGGGGGGGGGGGGGGGGTCACGTGTTGTGTATTGTCAGGGGCCGCACTAAAGGCCACCAGGGGCCGCCAGGGGGCCACGGGCCTTGCAGTGACAAACACTGATCTTCAGTGAGTAAATTGCAGTATTGATTTGAAGCTTTCGTGACTGCAGGAATCCATACTATTTGGTTCTTTCGTTAAAGTCACAGTTAGAAATAAAATAAAACAAATCTTTAAATACTGGATTGTGGACATGCTGATTGGCCGTGTCGGGTGGTGGAGGGTTACGACACATTTATAAATAACGCGATCTAAACCCAAAAACGTTGATTATGAATAATATTGGTCGCGAAAGCCTACGTGTTAAACTGATGCGTAGAATCACTGGAAAAAACATTTAAAAAATGCTGCAACAGGTTAATTGAAAATGTTAAGCCTGCTGTGATGAAGACGCATTAAAAATGGTTACAAAACAAATAGCCCTCGCATCAGAGATGACTTCAATACACAATCATCGCTTAAGGGAAGGTGCTTTAGCTAATCAATCTTTTGATTATTATAACACATTGATTTGCAGTAGCCAATGTCATTTAGGTGGTGTGCAGCCTTCCACGTGTGCTTATAATCATGTTGGGTTTAATCTAAACATTCTGAAAGAGAATATCTGATCATGGTTCCTTACTACTGTATGCTAGATTCGTTTTATAAAACCCATTTAAATTAGAAATAATTTACCTGGAAACAACTGTTGTATGTTCTCTTGGTAAAGCCTTGTTAGAATACACAATGACACGGGCAGTATGCTAGACCTGCTAGCATTTACAAACAACAAACTGTCTTAGAAAAATTTCATCTTTGCACACACCGGTAAACATAAGCAGTTTTAGTATCAGAGATTTCTGTTAAACGGGACCTTTTTCTGTTTGGATAAAAGCAACGACTTGTATAAAGAGACACTCCGTTATAATGGACTCTTATTCGTGGCCAGAATAGGGATGAACAATTCAGTTCCACGCACTTCACGGAAACAAACACAACCTCAACATATAACAAGCATCGACAGTGGACAGAGAAAACAGCTGTGATACTTATCCAAAATGATCCACCCACACTCTGTGCAGAACACGTAGGCGCGGTGGCATAAAACACATGAAGTTGGCTTTTTCGATTAGTATCTCATTTGAAGGTAAAAAAAGCGCTTAAGGAGTTTTATACAACCATCCACTTTGATGGCACGCCACTTCGTCAGGGTTGGTTTGGGCAGCCTCATGTGCCCAGTGGAATCATCGAACGACAGCCCAAACCACTTCTCATACAATCTCCATGCAGAGATTCACACGAAACATTTCACTGCGATGTCACGCCACCTTTTGTTAATGACCAGAACACGTGGGATAGTCTGTATGGCATGCTTGGCATAGGAGGGATGGATTTAGCAAATTGGCATGAATTATTCTTGGCGAAAGCAGTCTCGAAGTGGTTCACGCACTTATCTGGCTACCTGATCAGCTCTCCACCGATTTCTGGCCACAGTCAGCGGCCAGTGATATTTGAATCGGTCCTGCCAACCTTGACCAAAACAACGCACTGACCAGCGTGATGAAGTATGGTCAAATAACTCTAAATGACCAATGATGCACGAGTCCTTGATTCAGCAGTAGATTACTGAAAGGAAATAAATGAAATGGTTATCGATCCTCCAGGAGTTTAATTTAAGCAGTTCAGGGAACGTCCAAACTACAACATAAATATGCCGGTTCGTGTCTGCATAAGTTCAGTGAATCCGCGTACGCTCATCCGCTTGCCCGCAGCCACGAGAGGGGGGGTACTACACTCGTACTGAACTAAGCCCGAGTACAAACTGGCAGTAATACTCGGGGTTGGACGTGAGAACAATTAAAACCATGGACGTCGCAGTCTTTCCACGTGTGCACACGGGGCAGAACAGAGGGCACGATGGACTCAATTAGATGCTGTCCTCGCTCATTCCCTTTCGCGTTTAACACTTGGTCAGAGTGCTTCCATGGTGGAGATGACAATTCTTCGTTTGATTCCGAAGAGAATACGTTGAAAATACATCGTTTTCATATATCTGTCCTGTATGTAAACTAAATTTTTTTTATTTGACCAGGTAAGGCCCACTGAGCTATGTAGCTTTCTTAGAAGCGACCTGGCCACAAATGATAGTTCAACGAAGTGGCTTATCATGTGGAAATGTATAGCAGCCAAATACTTTAAACGTGTGTTTCAAAATGTAGAGGGGAAAACCGGCGGACCCGGAGAAAAATCCACGCGACCACGGGGAGAGAGGCACGCAAACTCAAAATATACAGCAGCAGGCGTCAGGGTCAGAATCGAACCCACGATCTCCTTCATACTTGGCGAGGAAGTAAACATCTCGGCCCAGTGGCGCCCATATGTATCTGTATTTGTTTTTCATTTTTTTCATTTATTTTGTATAGCCCTGTGAGCCATTTGGCTCTTGAATCGGGTGCAACCGCAAAAAAAACAAAAAACAAAAACATGAACAAAAAAACATCTTAAAGTGACTATGTTGCATTTATTTCGCACCGTACGTAGCCATAGGCAATCGAACAATAAACTAATCACAAAAACATTTATTTTTTTAAAAAGCCAACCACTGCCTTCGGGGAGCGCACAATATCAGCGGCAGCGCGTTTCCACATTCGGTGTCTCGTCAACGCCAAGTCGGTCAGACCTTTTTGCCTGCGAACCCAACAGCGGGGTTTGTTTAGCTGCGTGCGATAGAGAGCAGCAGAGACGAGGAGAGGTTGGTGGTGGTGGTGTGGTTGGAGGCGAGTGAGAGAGAGAGAGAGGGAGCGTGCCTCGCCCTCCCCTTCCCATTCCCGCGGGGATTTCCTGAGCCGCCTTCCGAGAGCTGAGAGGGAGTTCCGATGACGTCATGCCCGCGCTGCATCTGCTCGGATGGAAATCCCGGGCACGGGAATGCAGTTCGGACAGCCTGGCGGCGAGAAGCCGTCTCAGCGTCATCTGTATCGTCACCACCACCACCAACACCAAACTACTACAGCAGCAGCAGCAGCAGGAGGAGGATCACCATCATCTCCAGCATCATCATTCGAATCATCATCATCTCCAGCGTGGTCGTCATCATCTGCCAAACCATCATCGGCATCATCATATGCTTTTCGCTTCGTCGAATGCGCACAGCACAATGCAACAAGCTTTGAAGGAACAAGCACGTTCTCATTTTTGTCACTCCGCAATCGAGACATGTCACTGCTGCAGCCACAGCAGCAGCAGCAGCAGCATCTTCCTTATCATCATCGTCATCAGCAGCGCCGTTAGAATAACAGTAACCATTGCAATCATTACCATTACTGCCGCGTTATCACCGTTATCTTTGGACGGGCGAACCCAAACAATGGGTGGCTGTCTTCTGCCTGTAACGCGCGTCCACCCGATTGCGATGTAATGGATAACGGAGAATAAAAAAATCTATATATCTCAGCGGTACGTGTGAAATAAAAACAGAAAAGCGCGCACGGTAATATCATTGCTATTATTGCTATCACGATGATGATGATGATGTGAGCGGTGGGCAAATATGAAGGCACAATTAATGCGGCGGCGGCAGCGGCAGCAGCAGCTCTCGCAAGGAGGGAGGAGAAGGAGCGGAGCTGCGTGCGCATAGATGCGAGCCAGCGCAGATCACAGCGGCAGCAGCAGCAGCAGCGATGCCCCGGACCAAACAGCGAAATCCGAAGCCTCTGAGCTGTGAGTAGCTACAACGCAGCGCGCACCGCAACAACACAAACACCACCACCACCATCATCATCATCCCTGCCTACCTGCTTGCTTGTACGATGCCTTACCTGCCTGTCTATTTGCCCCTATGCCAGCCCGTCTCGCTGTGTGTGACGCCAGTCTTTGCTTGATGTGTGTCTGTCTTGTGAGAGAGAGAGAGACTGTATTGATGGCTTTGTGACAGCACACACTCGATAATTTATTAGCGTGTGCCTGTCCCATGTACATCCCCTGATTCGTGTGTGCCTTTTTCTGTGTGCATTACATCCCTTGTGATTTAATTGCTGTGTGTATGCCTCTGTGTGTGTGTGTGGCAACCCATACACCATCATATGTGCTGCCTGTCCACGTGGATCACAGATGTAGTGTATTTGCTGGATGGTAATACAATGCCGTGTTGTTACATGTCCATGGCATGTAATTGTTGTAAGGTATAACAGATTGGTGTGTGCCCCGCCTCTGCCCTTGTGTGTGACTGCCTGGATGTCTGCCGATGTGTTATGAAGCGTGCCCTGCCGTATGCTGTATATTGCAATGTTGTTAATATGGGTATTTATTGGCGTGTGCCGCCTACCCGTTTACGTTTAATACTCTGCTGTATGTATTGATGTACGGTAGAGATTGCCGTAGATGTGCTGTTGATATGTGTGCGTAATACACGTTTGCTGTATAGTGTTAACTGCTGTGTATGTGCCATTGGTTTGTGTTTTACACAGTACAGTATATATTTCTGTATTTAATATACGCTGTATATTTTTTGGACGGTATATATTTATGCGTACCTACCTGTGTGTTAGATGTCGTCTAGGTAGCTGTATGGTATATATTATTGTATATGTGCTATTTCTTTTATCCAGTGTACGGTGCATTGATAAATAGCACATATTGCTGTGTGGGTACTGTTGGTGTGTGTGTGAAATTACATGGCAGTATAGCTTCTCTTACTGCTGTTTTTTTTATATGTGTCAGTACAATGTAGCCGCTCTTGCTGCTGTGTTTTTGAAATATTTGGCAGTATAGCTGCTACTTGCTGTTGTGTTTTTGAAATATTTGGCAGTATAGCTGCTACTGCTGCGTGTGTGATATGGGCAAGCTCTGCTGCTACTGCTTCTGCCGCTGTTGGCTCAGCTCGACACCACGGGGCTTGTATCACGATGCACGCACCGCCAGTGAGAGAGAGAGAGAGAGAATGCGTGGACCAGCCCAGAGCCGCGGCTGGTTTTGCGCATGTGCGACTCGTTGGGCTCGAGTTCAATCTCCCAATGCCCCGTGTGGTTTTCACCGTCACGGCGTCACGAAGGGCCTTCTTTTGTTGCTGCTGCTGCTGCTGCTGTCATTGCAGTCGTCTTGAGTGTGAACTGGATGTTTACAATAGCGAGCTCTTCATTGGTTGGTTGATTTATCTTTATGTAAGATGTATGCACGTGCCTCTGTGTTTGTCGCAAGGAAAGCAGCGCAGTAGCTAGGAATGGCGTTTTCTCTACACATACACATATATGCGCACTGCAATTGATGCTACTGCTACCAATAATACACTGCTTCCGTGCAATGTTTGTGGAGGGCGGTGGGTGTGGGTGGGTGCAGTGGTGAAGTCAGCCCAGCCCAGCGCGCAGTACGTACTGCGATATTCATTCGCAAGCAGGTGATGTCATGTTTCCGAGCCGTTCGTGTGCACGTCAAATGTAGCTGTCACAAGGAACAGAGTCTATAGCAACCGGGCTCCATCAACCCAAACTGCCAGACGTGGTGAGGTATGGCCAAATAGCACCCCCCCCCCCATCACCATACAACCCGTACGGCTTCGGGAGGGCCTTCATCCAGCAGTGGATTGACAAAAAAAAGGGGCTGCAACATATACACACTGACCAGGACCCCTCCCTCCGGATCGTAATGGGAATGCGCTGAAGGTAAGGGTGTGTGTGTGCGTGCGCGTGTGTGTGCATGCGTCGTTGTCCATCCGTGCAACGGTGTTGTGTGTCATCTTTGTGCTGTGCACGTCGAGACGAGGGAGAGAGACTGGCGGTGATTGTGATGCGAACCTCTAAGCCCCCCCCCCCCCCCCCGCGTGTGAATATGTGTGCAGCGTGCACGGTAGCAGCAAGTTTCCATTAAGAGATCTAATGTCGGTGGTCGTGTGCGTTTGCTCCGAGCACGTGTGCATTGTGTTCAGGTTGGTTGGCCGGGCAGTGAACGGGTACGTAGTCGGGGTGGGGGTGTCTGAACGAGATCATTTAACGCGCATTAATTATCATGCCCCTTATCTTGCGTGAGAATTCCGCAAGTTGGTAAGATTGTCACTTAATTGCTCCGTATTAACTTTGTTTTCAACGTTGCCCTGCTTGAATACGCCTTTAGGGATACAGTATATTGGCTGCTGGTTTTTGCGGCTGTGATTTTATGTCACGTAAATGGCATGTTCGGTTATTAATTGATAATAACCGCGTTCTTTGTCAATCCCCTGCTGGATGAAAGCCTCCCCACGGCGTGTCGTGCCATCGGGGTTGTTTGACCATACTTCACCATGCTGGTCAGTGCGGGTGTTGGTGACAGGACCGGTTCAGATATCACTCACAACTGATGTTCGCCCGAGCGGGGAGTCGAACCCGGGTCAGCGGCGCAGCGCGCTCACCGCAGAGCCACCGTTCACTCCGCTCATCGTGTTTATTGAATTCCACGCAATCCATGAATTGTTGCACAGCTGTTTACTGCCATGCACGGCAATTATATCGCGTCGCGTTTAACGCCTCCATCGGGAATTTCAATTCGGTATTTAGTAGTTGCACGGAAAAAATTACGTTTAGCCGGTTACCCAGCTCGATTGTTCGGGACATCCGTGGTGCATCAGCACAAGAACAAAAACAACATCGGTGTTGTGCCAGCCTCTGTCGCCCACGCATAAGAGAGGCACTTCATGTCCACGGGCATCTCACTTGGCTTAAATAAATGGCTTAAATAAATCAACGGATCGATTGTTCTCATGCGGTTTAACATTTGGGCTTTCACGACCAATATTATCCATAAGAGGCGGCGGGGGGAGGGGGGGTGTTAGAACGCGATCTAACAAAAAACACCTATTATGTTTTCATGTGATTAGGAGTCTGCGCATTACGAAGGGCTGGCCACTCTGCTCGTGTATGAGACCCATCGCACGCAGGTACACTGTGTACCTGCTTTCGTGGCACACGCGTGCACACTCGGACGTGTCACCAATGCATCATCATATATAAGGTTCAATTTGAGCCGTCCGGGTTTGAGCTTCTGAAAATAAATTATCTCCCGGGGTTGTGGAGAATCCCGCAAAAAATACTCAATGAGAAATTAAACCGCCCTGATCATGCCTGCGTGTGCGTGCGTGCGTGTGTGTGCCGAACTTGATGCTGGCTACTTACCCACTCCGTTATGTGTCGTGCCTTGCCTTAATGAGTACTCGCAAACACCGCTTGCCCCAACAATCTGTGTCTTTGTGTGTGTGTGTGCGTGCGGGCCAGGCTGTATGTCCGTGCGAATCGGAGTTTTCTGTAAACGTGCAACACGTGCGGCAAATGTTGCCGCTGTGGTTTAATAACAATTAAGTTAATTAACATAATCAGCCCAGGAACCCGGCACGACCACGAATTCCCACGATGCCCAATCACGGCGTCGCCAAATTTAACGAAAGCACTCAAAAGTAATCGGAATCGTGAATAGAAACCTCGGCTATCCACGCCGCAATACATTGCAACGTCGTTACATTGCTGGTGTGGTAGAGTTATTGTGTTACCTCTATGCATTGTACAAAATATTAGCCCGTGAGAAATTGTGAAAAATTGCAAATGTCCTATATAGCGCTTGTTATACGCGCGCACGAATGCTGCCCTGATCAGTCGTGAGAATGACAATGTTTAACTTAAAGATCTCTGTTCTATCTCATAGCCAACACGTGCAAAATATTAATATGGCATTCCGTCACAACGCAGTTGCTAACTGTGATAAAAAAAGAAGAGGCGGCTACTATCACCGGGTAATTGTTTTCAATCGGACAACAGAGGGCGCTTTTCCGCTGACTGAATGCAGGCCGATCAATTTACAGCTACCACACTTCAATAATAGGGATACATTCCAGCACAGTATTAGGGGGAAGGGAAAACATTGAATTTGAAATCCTTTACATGTCTCTTACATCTTAAAAAAATACCTTTATTAAATAGTCTCAACACTCTCCCGGTACACTTTGTCCAACATAGCTGCTCTATTAATAACACAAATTTTTAAAAATAATAATGTACAAGGGCCGTACATTCATTTAAATTCAGCGGTGTTATCTATAAATGGATCACCGCCGGTACAGCTCGCAATTAACGCGCGCCTCTACCACGTAGGTGCTACCAATTCGCCAGGTAATGAGAGGGGGGGGGGATTATTAAGAATGCATTAATTTGTTATTAATGTGATTTATTTATCCAGCAAAATATTCGTGGAGTCTCAAGATATGTTTTGTTTGTCAAAAGGGTCCTGCTACATTTGGATGCGTGGTTCATCCCATGAATGAGTGTAAGACCGTGTGGTTGTGAAACTGGAATACCCAGAGAAGATATAACCTCGCCCCCTCCCACCCCAATATGAGAGGAAAATGTTCAAATATCCGTACAAATGCATTCAAGAATCCGTCGCTCTTCTACCATCTACTAGGCACCTGGCTGCACAAGCCAACAATAACGAGCAGGCATATTCGTTCCCAGGAAGTCTCCCATACAAGTACTACGCAGGCTTAACCCGGCTTAGCTTGTGAGATTTGGCGAAATGGGTATATTCAGGGTGGGTTACTTTAATCATTCGGTCCTGTGCTTGAATGCTGTGATGCAGTTATGTTGGACAGTACATCAATGCGCTTGTGGTCCCTATATTGTGAGCTGCAGTAGTTGCTGTTGTCACAATATTTCGCATTGTTAACAAAGTAGCAGCATTAACATTTAACGCAATTAGGTTAACTC